CCCCATTGAACTCCAGTAGGGGCCGCAGGCACAGGGGGTTTCGCTGCTGCCAGATCCAAGTCCCTGTCGCCAAAACTGAGTGGGCAAGGGGAAGAGTGGAATGCAATGTAAAAACTACCATTATGCAGGAAATGCAAGTGCACTGCCAGTGAGTGATGTCTGCCAATCACAGGCGCAGATTCACCAAACCATGGATAGATTCGTCTTTTTTTGAGAATTCTCAAAAGTCACTCACATGGATAGATTTGTCACTCACCCACAGTGTATCTGCAGCGGCAGCTGATGCTTGGCTGCCACTGCAAGGGCCGTGGCGATGCAGAAACTGATCACTTGGGGATCACTCAGGCACAGGCTCGGCGGACAGGTTTGGGACACCGAAGCTGAGGAGTGGGTTTGGCAGGAACAGAGACGGTTTAAAGTTTTTTTCCATTTGGGATGGCTTGATTTCCTAGCTCCACACGAATAGGGGTTATGTGGTGAGAGAGAAAGGCACTGACGAGAAAGGAGGGCACTGACGAGAAAGGAGGGCACAAGAGGGTAGGGAGGGAGGGAGAAGAAAAAGGAAGGAAGGAGCGAAAAACCTTCAACCAGCGTGGCTCGAATGCCCGTGGGCGTAACAAAAGGGTCGATTTCGAGCCTTATAATGAAGCAGGCCAGAGCACTATAAAGAGGTGGCTCAGGGCTGCACTCACCTAGAGTGGCTTGAATGCCAAGCTCCACTTCAGCTGGCGTCACAAAAGGGTCGAGCGAGCCTACAGGCTACAGCAGTACGCTGCAATGCGCTTGAACGGGCAGTGGAGCCCCATAATGAAGAGAAGGCTCAGAGCTGCACTCACCGAGAGTGGCTTGAATTCCGAGCTCCACTTCAGCTGGCGTCACAAAAGGGTCGACGGAAGAGAGACCACAGCGGTACGCTGCGATGCTCTTAAACGCCACCACTCCCGCAGGTGGTGTGCGGAGTTGAAGACAAGGATAATATGAAGAAGAGCAGGCCCAGAGGTCAAATGAAGGGCGGTCAAAGGGAGAAGTTGGTTAAGGATAACAGCGTAAGACCCGGAAAGTCTACATGGGAGGCCATGGGACGCGAGTAGCATCAAGTCATCCCAGGCCAACAACAACATCAAAAGACTTTGCAAACGCTGCATTTTTAGATGTATTTGAATTCTTATCATCATCCGTTGACCTCGTTCACAGAAGGCATGGGAAGGCACGAGGGGACGGATATGGGTCAATGGCGTCGTGGAGCTGCTTGGAGAAGCTGTCCAATGTCCACGTGCCACCTGGCGCTGGTCCCAGCAAAATATCTTCCGCTAGAGTTTCAAGTCTAAGCACTCGCCGCACAACCGGCACCAGAGCCTCGTGCCATGCCACGTCCCTCCACCTCCACCTCTTCTCCTCTCCCTGCTGTCCCCCTTCTTGCGCTGCTGCTGATGATGCCACACCTTCTGCTGTTTCTTTTGCTGCTCCAGCTTCATACGCTCCGCTTTCGCCTCCTTCCGTCCCCCAGTTCACATCCTCGTTATAAGCCACCCCGCCTCGGAGCCCATCGTCTATAAGCATTGCGGATATCCTCGCAGCACCAAACAGCCTCTGATTGGCTGCTTCCTCGCCCAATTGCAGCCGAGCAGCAGCGACTCCCTCCAGTGACGTGGCGTCCGCTGATAAAGCAGACGCCAGCTCACGAATACTGCGCTGGGAACAGGGAGGAGGGGGGAAGTGGGAGTGGGGGAGGGGGGGAATGTGGAAGAGTGAGGAGGGGTGAGGGACAACGGAGGAGAAGGGTCGAGCGATAGAGGAGGTCAGAAGGATGGCGGTGGAGAGTGGCGGAGGGAGGAGGGAGGGAAGCAGTCTTAACGTCGACCCTGAAGCGTCCGGAAAGCAAGACACACATTGGTCTGGAAATTTGTTGTCAATTTGAAAGAGAATAGAGCGACTATCAGGGAAAAGGAAACAAGAGAACGAGAAGTGAAACGAGGCAGGAACGCGTCAGTAGATTGTGTCGAACTTGGTACCTTAACGGCGATGGAGTGTACTGCGTGCTCTCGCGCTTTGCCATGCGCCTCGGTGAGTGAGCCTAGGAGCGCGTCGCTGAGAGATGTGACTGTAACGGGAGGCTCTAGCTCCATCAGACAGTGGCAATGGTGGTCGAGAAGCGGACACGTGTCGATAAACGCTCGCAGCTGTTCCAGGCCAGCATCTTTGTCAGTATCAGTGAAACTCGCAGTAAGCGCAGTGTGCGCTGACATGTTTAAAATGCGGGCTTGTTAAACTGGACTGAGGCCCAGAAAGGTTGCAAGGACTGCCCTAAGAGATTGCAATAATTTCGGCGGTCGACTAAGATCCAGAAAATGCAAGCAACGGATGGCCAGCGTTACTAGTAAGGGCTTGTTCGTAGTTTTGACACCAGTGTCATTTTGCCATTTTGACACGAGCATACATTGTTGGCAGAGTGTCAAAATTTCGCAGATTGATAACGAGTAAAACTAGTCGGATACCTTCTGACTCTGACAGAGTCAATGCCTACGAGCCAATCAGAATCGTCGCAGCTGCAATCTCATCACCCCTATCACCCAACAAAATCGCACCGCTTCCTACTTGAGACCTAACAGCTAGTTGAGAATGTCGCTGGATTGGACATGCACCAATCATTGAATACACTAGTAGGTCCCAGCTAATCAGAATGCGTCGTTGATGATTCTACGTGCGCTTCGAGTTGACACCCATGCTACAGTGATTGACACGCAAAATCACTAGCGCTTTGGGTTGACACGCATAAACAGCTGGTGTCAAAACTACGAACAAGATCTAAGTCGCAATGTAATTCTTCTATCAGCCAGATAATCAGAAGCCGGATGATCAGGGCGTATTCCAAAGCACGGACACCATCCTAAGTAGCCCCACGCGGTACGCAATGTTGGAAAGTCGAATTTCAATGTTACGCCACGCGGTTCGGCATCAAGACACTTTGAAGCTGACGGCTACGTAACCTGTGACCGTTTTGCACGTCTTTATGCGACAAGGGGTTTCGTGCCTTGTTGCTGTCTGATTGGTACATTGAACCTGACAGGCTGAGTACGTGTCCCATTACCGTCACGAAACTTTACGAATGCTGCCCCTCGTGAGATTCGGTTTTACAAGTACTTGAACAAGACGTGAACTTGATTGGATGCCCCAAACACGCAGCCAACCAACATCAATCAAATCGCTTTGTTCACAATTTTCACAATTGCCGGCGAAGTAAAGAATGGACGTTTGGAATTCCACGCTGCGACGGTTTCTGGCAGATTCTATTGGGCGCGAACCAACCCAAACCGGCTCTGCGTCTGACGATGGCAGACGACAGTTCCAGCTAACTCTGCGACGCCAAGTGTCCGGGATGGGGTCCTGCCCCACACGGACACCATCCCGAGCCCCAAAAAGTTCGGATGGGTCCACTTCGGATGGTGTCCGAGCCCTGGAATACGATCTCAGTCAAAATCTCCAGGACATCTGGGGGGCTACCGAACAAGGCCCCATAATCAGGGCGGGCTAGTGGGCAGGCTCCCGTTTCACATTTTCATTCATGTTTCTAAGTTACAGCAGGATTCAGTATATTTGTCACAGTTCTGGTAGTGGAGTACTACAGGAGGATGTGAAAAAACTGTTTGGGGAGCAGTGAAATAGGGGGATGTTATAGCTAAACGTTTCCGGGCTCATTTATTCGGAAAAGTTTCAAAATTGGCAGATAAAATGTTGTGAGCCTGAATGCGCATGGCAAAGCCTGAAAGCGAATTCTGACGAATTTCGCGCTGGCGGATTTGTCTTCTCGGTACAAGAGAAACCGATATTGAACAGGTACAATGCGAGCAGAATCAAATGTGAAATTTTCTATGTTCAGTATCTTATACTTTTTGCTGCTTTTGCGAATTTGTTTTTTCGAAGCAGGCTTTTTGTATGGCTGGGCTGGGGCGGAAAATCGCACGACGTAACAACTGGTTCGCGATTTAGGACGCGGTGAAAGTGCAAATATCGCCAGCTCGTGAGCGAAAATCGATCCCGACAATCGATTGGTCGGGTCGTTTGACGAAACGATGCGCCTACGACGTTGTAACGATCGCACCTGGGTTTAGCTGTGGATGTTCCACCACCGAGATTGTGTAACTGTCTGCGACGCGGGCACTGTAAAACCAGAGGTCGCACAAGCACACCTGTGAAATGGGCTCATTGCTATAGGTTGGACGACTCAAATTTCAGACTGTGCGAAAAATCAGCAAGTCGCAGGCATCCGAATCAATCGGGCCTGGTGTGCTCGGTTCGTGGGCATGAGATGCGCATCACCAATCGCGGGCGATCAGTGATCAGTCTCGCTGTGCAGCTTTTTTGGCCAAAAACCTTACTGTAGCAAGGTTACAAGACAGTAAATAGGGTAACCAATCCGCACATCGATCGCGAGTGACGATCGATCGTCTACTTTCACCGCGTCCTTAGCGCATGGGTCATCGTTGCATCCGACGGTCATGCTCGTGAGTTTCTTTCACCAGATCTCGGAGGTTCCAGAAGCATTCCACGGCAGACGGGTTTCCTCTACAGTCACTCCGACAAGTATGTTATAAGCACATGGAGTGTAATGGATGTTCTACTTTCAACCGTATTATACCGTGTTGAATGATGTTTTTGTCATGCTCCTAGATTTCGCATATTCTTTATGTATGGTCAATTCTTTATGGTGCCGCGCAAACCTCCATTGGCAGGAACTACGTGAATTTGCTTCGTTGTCAGGCGACAATTCCAATGTCGAATTCAGTCATGGCGTCGCACGCTTCAGCCATGCTCTGGTTCATGTCGTTCCAACTGCCAGTTGAAACCAGAGGCGGAGAATCGGAGACTTGACATGACACACGCGTCAAGCAGTTACTAGGTCCGAGTGAAGTGAAGCAGTCTTACGAGGTCGCAGCGCGTCCACGTTCAATGGAATGAACGGTCGGTGTCACGGTAGCGATTCGCGTTGAATATATGTTTTTATGGCACAGGTTTCAAGAATTGTCGGTGTCACCTCCGCGCGGTTCTTCGTCTCTGTCTTGCCAACTTCCGCCGCGGTCTTTAATAGGCTCCATAGTAGCATCAAGTTGCTGCACGTAATACCTACTTTCCAGGCGCTATTGACAGCTCCTCCCCGCCTGGTACGAATTTTTGAACTGCGATTACGTATTAGGCGAAGTAAAAATGGTTTTTGCCTTTGCACCTTCAGGCTGTAGTTCCTCTCATTCTGTTTCTTGCACCCTTCATACCGTCTTTCATCTGTTAATAGCGCCTTTTGTTCTTTTAGTTCTCAGAGTTCATGTTTCCTCATGTTACCTCCTGTGTCTCGCCCTTTTCTCTTTAAGCAGTATTATCCGAAGAAGCGTCAGTTCCGCTCCACGGGTTTCCTCCGGCAAGATTACCCTTTCTTGGCGCATTCACTATTACGCAGCAGCTATCTTCCCGCTCCTTCACCCAACCTTCCTATTGCGTCAAGCAACCGTCACGTTTCTACAAACAGCCTCCCCATTCTTCCAAGAAGCCTTCACGTTTCTCACAGCAACCTTCACCGTCCTCTCGGCTTAATGGCTACACTCCATACTCGCGTCTCCCCGCTCACGTCTCTGACACGTCAGCGGAATCACCGCCTCCCCTCCTCCGTCCTTTCAGTTTCGCCAGTTGGCAGACGCTCAGTCTCCTCCTCTGCTTTGATACCAGACGAGCCCCACTGGAGCAGACGTGTGAGGCGACTCAAAAGTCTCCCAGTTTCGCCAGCTGCTAGACGTTTAGTTTCCTCCTCTGCTTTGATACCAGACGAGCCCCGCAGAAACATACTTGTGAGGCGACCCAAACGTCTTACAGTTTCGCCAGCTGCTAGACGCTCAGTTTCCTCCTCTCCTTTGATACCAGACGAGCCACGTGGCAGCAACCATGACTTCAGCAGCAAGAGTGGTAGTAGGACCAGCAAGAGCAGCAGTAGAAATCCGTTGAGCAGCCACGTCAGCAGTGCACGGGAAGGTCTCGGTGGAGGGAAGGGGTCCCTGAGCATTGCTTCAGGGGCGAAGGGGTTCCGTGCGGTGGTGAGCTTTGCTGTTCGGAAGCTGAGGGGTGGTGGTGGTGTGTGGGAAGAGCAGCATGAAGCAGAAGGGCGTGTTTGTGGGGCTGAAGCGCGGGATGGTTATCGTGCGGTGAAGGTGGGTGAAGTGGCAGAGGGTGCGGTGGAGAGTGGCGCTGAGCGGCCTAATCTGGCGGGTGTGGATGCAGCAGATAGCAATGGAGTGCACAGTAAGGGTAGTTTAGGCGCGTGGGTTACGCAAGGAGAAGAACCAATCAGACTGAGAAAAGAGGGAAGAAAATATCTAGACGCGTATGTGTCACCTGACGTCACAAATGGAGCAGTCAGGGCGATCAGGGAGGGCAACGGGAGCGTCAGAGGGGCAAGCGAGGGCAAGGCAATCAGCAGAGGGGCAAGTGAGGGCAACAGGAGCGTCAGAGGGTCAAGGGAGGGCAAGGGAAGCAGCAGTGGGGCAGAGGCTGGGATGAGTGAAGGGGCGCTGGAATGGCAGCATGAGTTTGGGCAGGAGCGGTTGAGTCAGGTGCTGGGCGCAGTAACAACGGTGAAGGAGGAAGAAGGGGCGGAGGAGAGAGAAGGGCTGGAGAAGAAAGAACGGATGGAAAAGAGAGAAGCTGAGGATATGGCGTTTTCCCTTAGCACCTCAGATGTAGGTGTGGGGGAGGAGACCCCGGGATTAGAGGGAGATGAAGGGGGGGAGGAGGAGGGTGAGGAAGAAGCAGAGGAAGACGAGGAGGAAGAGTTGTTGTTGGAGGAAGAAGAGGGGGGAAAGGAGCGCAAGAGTGTGTTGCGGCAGGGGCTGGCTGTCTCCTCCCGCACTCTCTCCTGGATCTCTGACGTTGTTGTCTCGCCCGCGCTCAGCTTCACAGGCCCACCGGGTAGGCTTGTTTTGAGTCCATTCAAAGGGCGGTTTGAGTTTACCAAACCGCAGTCTCCTCCCGAACTCTCTCCTGGATCTCTGATGTTGTTGTCTCACCTGCACTCAGCTTCACTGGCCCTCCTGGTAGGTCTGGATGTTCGGCTGTGTCCGAGCTTATAACCACATCTCTGGATTCTATTTTTGATGCGTCTCAAATGCTTTCTGAGACATGATCAGAATGAGCCGCATATTTCCAGTACATTCTCCTCTCATCATTCCCTCTCCCCAGTGGCATGAGCATTCAACTCCCTTCCGTGCATACGCATGGGAGTGTTCCTAGATGTGGCAAGGAGTGTGCGCGCCAGTGAGCCCTATATTCCCTTACGAGCCGGATTTTGGGCAATGGCCACTCTATTCCCAATTCGACCCCTCTCTGCAGTGGCCCGAGCATACAACTCCCTGCCGCGCATCCGCATGGGAGTATTGCTGGACGTGGCAAGGAGTGTGCGCGCCAGTGCAGGCGGCATGGGCGCATGGTCAATGCGCGACCTTGTGAGCTTGATATGACATGTATCCCTTCGTTCCTCTCTGTTCCCTCTCCCCAGTTGCCCGAGCCTTCAACTCCCTGCCTCGCATCCGCATGGGAGTGCTGCTGGACGTGGCAAGGAGTGTGCGCGCCAGTGCAGGCGGCATGGGCGCATGGTCAATGCGCGACCTCACCCACGGGCTGTACCTGCTGTCACTGCAGCATGCTGAGGAGAGGGCGGTTGATTCAGTAGCATCTACGCCAGTCACAGACGAGCAGACTGTGAGTGGGAGGCATGAGAAGGTTGCCAAGGTTACCCTACCTCTGGGGGCATGGTCACTGCGCGACCTCACCCACGGGCTGTACCTGCTGTCGCTGCAACATGCTGAGGAGAGGGCGGTTGATACAGTGGCATCCATTCCAGTCACAGACGAGCAAACAGTGAGTACAAGGCATGGTAATATTTGGTGGGGGAGTAGCTTTCTTCTTGGGGACCTCACCCACGGGCTGTACCTGCTGTCGCTGCAGCATGCTGAGGAGAGGGCCGTGGACACAGTGGCATCATGTGCGATAAGTCGATTTTTGAGTCGACTCAAAAATCGACTTATCGCATGCAGCACGCTGAAGAGAGGGCCGTGGACACGACACCATGGCATCCACTCCGGTTACGCTTGTGCATGCAGGGTTTAGGACCTGCGGCATTCCTCTGCTCCTCCTTGCGCCCTTACCATGGCAGGTGCAGCACCTGATTTACCACTGCGAGTTTGCCCGGTCGCCTATAGCAATACAGAAGAGCGTACACGCACAGAAGTCCATGCGTGCGCTGCTGTCCCATTGCCCTGCGCCCCTTCTTCCTCCTTTCCGGTGCGTTTTGAGTCGACTCAAAATACGGTCGGCTATAGTTATCCGGAAGAGCACACACGCACAGAAGTCCATGCGTGCGCTGCTGTCCCATTGCCCTGCGCCCCTCCTTCCGCATGACCTGATCTACCACTGCAAGTTCGCTCAGGCAGAAGACCATACACACGCTTATGCATGCTCTGCTGCCGCATTCCGCTGCTCCTCCTTCCGCCCTTACCATCGCAGGTGCATGATCTGATCTACCACTGCGAGTCATAGCAACAACAACGCACAGAGGAGCATACCCACGCACAGACCACTGCTGCACCTGCACATCGCAGGTGCATGATCTGATCTACCACTGCTGTCCCATTGCCCTGCGCCCCTCCTTTCCTCGTTTTCCATCGCAGGTGCATGACCTGATCTACCACTGCGAGTTCGCGCGGGCATCCATAGCCACAACGCACAGAAGCTCATGCCTAGTCTTCTGCCCTGCACCTTTCCTCTGCCCACCCTTCACCATCGCAGGTGCATGACCTCATCTACCACTGCGAGTTCGCGCGGGCGTCCATTGCCACGACGCACAGAGCCATAGCGCAGGCATGCATGGTTCGCCCCAACCGCATTGTCAAGATCGTACCAAAGGTAAGGTGTTCGCGGGGTGTTCTTTGTCAAGATTGTGGCCAGGATGAGTTGTGCACGGGAAGTTTTGCGCGCCTCAAAACAGAGCCATAGCGCAGGCATGATGGTTCGCCCCAACTGCATTGTCAAGGTCGTACCAAAGGTGAAATCTGCACAACATTTTTTTTTTCAAGGGCAGCTATAGCCGTGACGCACGGAGCCATAGCGCAGGCATGCATGGTTCGCCCCAACCGCATACCCAAGGTGAGGTTTGCGTAACGTGCTCTGTGTCATTTCACAAATGTGCACATGGGTGCATGGGTCGCACAAGATCGTACGTAAGGTGAGTTGCGCACAAGTTGTTTGCTCGCTGTGTCCTCATTACCACGTCAGCCTACCTACGCCATGCTTTGGAGGCACCACCACAAAAAAGTTGCTGTATCAAACTCGTCCTCTTCTTCCTCCCCCCTCTCTCGTCCTCATCACCACATCAGGCTCGCTACTAAGGACTTCTGTTCTGAAGCGCCCCAGAATGCGCCCTCTTCTTTCGTTCTTTTGAGGCGCCTCAAAGGACTTCTGAAGCGCCCCAGAACGCGCCCTCTTCTTTCGTTCTCTTCACCCTGCTCTCCTCGTTTACAGCACCACGTCAGGCTCGCTATGGCAGGCCTTTGGAGATCCACAAAAGTTGTTTGTGAGTTGATTTTTGAGTCGACTCAAAAATCAACTCTACAGCACCACGTCAGGCTCGCTATGGCAGGCCTTTGAAGATGCCAGTTAGCGATACCACAAACGCTATGGCTCGTTTACAACACCACAAAAGTTGTTTGTGCTTCTCCGAGGCACATCAAAACTCGTCCTCCTCTTCTTTCCTTCTCCCCCTCCTTGCCCGCGTCATCACATCAGGCTCGCTACAGCAGGCCGGCCTACTTCATAGCTCTGGACGACAAGCGTCGTCTCGTAGTGGTGTCGTTCCGCGGGACGCGGTCAGCGCACGACATGCTGACAAACCTCGCTGCCCACTCGGTCCACGTGTCTACTGTTCAGCGTGAGGGAGAGAGGGAGGGAGATAGAGTGGTTGCGGGGGTGAGTGAGCGAAACGACCGGTCGGCGGGACGCGGGACGCGGTCAGCGCACGACATGCTGACAAACCTCGCTGCCCACTCGGTCCACGTGTCTACTGTTCAGCGGGAGGGAGAGAGGGAGGGAGATAGAGTGGTTGCGGGGGTGAGTGAGCGAAACGACCGGTCGGTGGGACGCGGGACGCGGTCAGCGCACGACATGCTGACAAACCTCGCTGCCCACTCGGTCCACGTGTCTTCTGTTCAGCGGGAGGGAGAGAGGGAGGGAGATAGAGTGGTTGCGGGGGTGAGTGAGCGAAACGACTGGTCGGTGGGACGCGGGACGCGGTCAGCGCACGACATGCTGACAAACCTCGCTGCCCACTCGGTCCACGTGTCTACTGTTCAGCGTGAGGGAGAGAGGGAGGGAGATAGAGTGGTTGCGGGGGTGAGTGAGCGAAACGACCGGTCGGTGGGACGCGGGACGCGGTCAGCGCACGACATGCTGACAAACCTCGCTGCCCACTCGGTCCACGTGTCTACTGTTCAGCGGGAGGGAGAGAGGGAGGGGGGAGAGAGTGGCTCGGCAACCGATGGCGGGGAGAGGAGTGAGGAGAGGAGCGAGGAGAGAGAAGGGGAGTTTTTTATACAGAGCGATGGGATGGAGGGAGAGAGGGAGGGAGATAGGGTGGTCGCGGGCAGGAGTGAGCAAAAAGGAGGGAGGGGAGAGGAAAAGAGGAGAGATATATGGATAAGAGGGGAGGACAGGAGCGTGAGGGAAGATGGGAGGAGGAGCGAGGCCAAACAACAACCTGACGAGGAGTCGAAAGATCACCAAAAGGCAAAACCAAGGCAGAACGCAGAGCAGAGTCACCCAAAGCAGCCTCCAAAGGAGGAGACGATGGAAGATGTGGTGGGAGAAGAGGAGCGGTGGGACATGGACGAGGTGATAGCCTTCGGGCACTACGGCATGGTGCAGGCAGCTGAGACCTTCGTGCACGAGGAGTCCCCCCTGCTCCGCCACCTGCTCGCCCACCACCCGGGCTACGACCTGCGGCTCATCGGGCACTCCCTGGGGGCGGCGGTGGCGGCGCTGGTGACCATTCTGCTCAGGCCACAAGCGGAGGGGCTGCTGGGGATTGGAAGCGAGCGCGTGCGCTGCGTGGGGTTCGCCACACCACCTTGTGTATCGAGACATCTGGCGCTGTCCTGTCGCTCCTTCATCACCACTGTGGTGCTGCAGGTGAGCCACGTAGAGGAATTCTCTCCCTTTTCTCTCTCTCCCCCCTGCTGCGCCACCTGCTGGCCCACCACCCGGGGTACGACCTGCGCCTCATCGGGCACTCCCTGGGGGCAGCGGTGGCGGCGCTGGTGACCATTCTGCTGCGCCCACAGGCAGAGAGTCTGTTGGGGATAACTAGCGAGCGCGTGCGGTGTGTAGGGTTCGCCACTCCGCCCTGTGTGTCGCGGCATCTGGCGCTGTCTTGTCGGTCTTTCATCACCACTGTTGTGCTGCAGGTGAGCTCCCTTTTGCCTTCCACCTCCCCTCGTCTGGTAGCTTCCTCCTGACACTGGGGGCGGCGGTGGCGGCGCTGGTGACCATTCTGCTCAGGCCACAGGCGGAGAGCTTGCTGGGGATTGAGAGTGAGCGCGTGCGCTGCGTGGGGTTCGCTACGCCGCCGTGTGTGTCCCGGCACCTGGCGCTCTTCTGTCGCTCCTTCATCACCACTGTGGTGCTGCAGGTGAGCTCCGCGGTGCTTTGATAGGGACAGCCTTGTATGCACCACTATGTGTGGGGTTTGCTACCCCGCCGTGTGTTTCCAGGCATCTGGCGCTCTTCTGTCGCTCCTTCATCACCACTGTGGTGCTGCAGGTGAGCTCCGCGGTGCTTTGATAGGGACAGCCTTGTATGCACCACTATGTGTGGGGTTTGCTACCCCGCTGTGTGTTTCCAGGCATCTGGCGCTCTTCTGTCGCTCCTTCATCACCACTGTGGTCCTGCAGGTGAGCCACTTAGAGGAATTCTCTCTCCCTCTCTCTCTAGCGCCGGAGTCGCCGCGCAACCAAGTGATTCATGATGCTCGACGCGTTACGTTGACTTGCATGCCCTCTTCCCCGCACGTGCTTTTCTTACCATGTTCTGTTTTTGTATGTTATCAGGATGACATAGTGCCGCGCCTCAGTCTGCACGCCTTGGAGTCGCTCCGCAACGAAGTCGTGGCGTGCGCTGCTGCTCAGCCCAGCAAGGAGAAGGCCGCTCGCCGCAACGGCAGCAGCAGCAGCAGCAACAGTAATGCCGAGAGCAGCAGAAAGAACGGGACCAGCAGCAGCAGCAGCAGCACCAGCACCAGCACCAGCACCAGCAGCATTGACAGAAACGGTGGAAACAGCGTCAGTAACAGCAGTACCAGCTCAACTCCAAACAGCTTTCCGTCTGTTCAAGAGATGGAGGTTATGAGCTCAGGCCCTCCAGATGTGGGTGACAGTAACGGTGCTGCTTATAGGGAGGGCGAGCTGACAGGTGCTACTATACTCCGCGACTCCTCTGCAGAAGATGCCTCCTTTCTCTCCCCTCCTCACTCTCCCTTCGATTCTTCCTCGTCCTCCTCATCCCCCTCATCTCAATTGCCTCTCTTTGCCACCACCACTGCCACTCCCCCTCACGAGCTCGGTCTTTCGACCTCTTGTTCATCTGCCCTTGATGCTCTCTACACCTTCTCCTCCTCCTCTCGCCCTCCAGCCTCCCTCGCCGCCTCCTCTTCTCGCTCCCCTCTCTCCTCACGCTCCTCTCCCTCTGTGAATTCCCGCTCGGCCCTTCGATCCTCTCCCCCTCGTCCTGCTCCTACTTTATCACCTGCTGATTCGCCTTCGCTTCTGACCAAGCTCAAGTCGAAGAAGTGGAAGAAAAAGAAGGAGAGGGAGTTGAGTCGACATGAGCTGATGCTGCTGCAACAGGTGCAGATGGAGTGCTGTATTCCGGACGAGCACTACTCCAATGCTGCAGCAGCTACTAAAGGGGATGACCATGAGTTACTGCCACAGCATTCTCAGCATCTCCAGCAACAGCGGGAAAATGGGGAGGATGGGTGGGGAGCTGGATCAATTCTGCTTGGCATGGAAGAGTCAGCTGGCAATAGCCATGGTAGCAGCCATGGTAGCAGCCATGGTAGCAGCCATGGTAGCAGCCATGGTAGCAGCCATGGGACAGATAATACCAAGTCCGGAATGTGCATTGGCAGCAGCAACGGCAATGACAACGAGCTTGGCAGTTGGAATGGGAATGGTAATGGGAGTGCGAGTACCAGTGACAATGGCAGCAATGGCAATGAGAATGGCAGGTCTAAGATTCTTACCGAGGACGTGACTGCTACAGCTGCGAATGGAGAAGCAGTCTCGGCGAATGTGGTTACCATGGATACGCACAGGCGTTACGCTCCGGGGAAACTGTACCATATAGTGAGGGATAAGAAGGATGGGGAGCATGTGTTGTTGGAGGCGCAGGGGAGCGCGCGGTTTGAGCGGATTGTTTTGTCATCCTCGTTATTGTCGGATCACCTTGTGAACTCGTACATGTATGCATTGCGAGATGTGCTGAAAGGCATGTAGATATGGTTATCATTCAGTGCATTGTTCCCATGTATAGCAAACTCAAACATCATAGTACTTCAATGCGTATACTTTGTATTGCAGTATACTGAGATTCAAATTCATGAATACAGGACTGAACATGGTCGATCCATCAGGGCATGAGCAGCCAAACCAACATGCCACCTACAACAGTTAAGGCTTTGCGATGTACAGTACTAGTAATTCACATTCATGAGTAGGCAAACTGGACACTGGCAATTAATCAGGGCTTGAGCAGCCACACCAGCAGGCCACCAACAACCGTGCCCGCAGCAAACGACATGGTGCTGCCCGAGCCTCCGTCCGAAGCTGGCTTGGCAGACTCGGCAGCCTTCTGAGCCTCCTTGGCAGCCTTGAGAGCCTCGTGTGCTGCTGCTGCATGCGCTGCCGCCTCCTCCTTGTGTGCTTCCAGTTGCTGCCGTTGTATGAGAAGGCATGAGTAATGGGTAAAGGGTAAGAGTAGAGGCCAGCGGTTGGGAGAATCACGGGAGAATCACAACCCTAGCTGGTGGTCTTGAGTGCCTTGTGCACCGATGCTGCATGTGCTCCTTGTGTGCTTCCAGTTGCTGCCGGGGTACGGAAAGGTGCGGGGCGGGGGTATGAGAAGGGCCCATGGCTGTCAGGATTGCCTTGACTGCCACTACTCTAGTCCATCCACAACAAGTGTGATAGCTTCCCATGCACCCAGAGGGGAACGGCAGGGGAGTGGTTTAATCACGAAAGGGTCAGGGGATCGATGAACTGCAGCACAGGAAGGATTTTTTAGTCGACTCAATAACATAGAGGGGGACGGAGGGGAGTGGGTTAATGAGGGGGGAGAACGGGGTTGGGAGAAGAAAGGACGGTGAGATGCAGGGTGGTTGCATACAGAGTAAAGTGAAAATATCTGGTGTCAGAACGAGTATTCATGAGTGAGAGGAAAAAGGAGGAGCATGGAGGAGAAAGGAGGAGCAGGGAACAGAAAGGAACAGCAAGAAAGAGTAAGGAGGGACAAGGCCTGGGTTGCGACAAGACAAGCAGATAGAGACTTACAGCCTTGAGTTTCTCGAGCTTCTCATGCTCAAGTTTCTGCAGGCATGCATGCAAGGATGGATGTGAACAATCACCAGCACAGACACAATCCAACCAATCCACAAAGCATCAGGCAGAAATGAATGAAAAACATGGGGACGAGGGAAGCAAGCATGGGCAGAATAAAAGTGAAACACATTGGAAAAAGGCAGACATGGTGCGATCTACCATTGACGGATTTTAACCATCTCTCATAATATCCTTCCTGTATGGCCTTTTCTCAGCGATGCGTCTCCAGAGACCACACGTTGATTACTTACAACCAAGTACTATGAAGGAAAATCACCCATTTTAAAAAAGCACAATCCGTTACAAGCACAGCCCGCAAAAAAAAAACGTTATTTACAGTGTGTTCATACTCCTCCCTCGCCTTCCCGCCATAGCTCATCGCGCCCTCCGCTCATTGCGCTACGCTATACCAGGTACGACGACGTTTCCGACACATACCCATTACACGCCCGTTACGTTAAAAGCACAATCCGCCACAGGCACGCACCTGGAAGTGAACGTTTACGTACGACGGCGTGCTCTTGCTCCTCCAGCACCCTGCCTCCCTGGCTCATCGCCCGCCGCCATACCGCCTCAAATGACGCTTCTGAGACATACTCTTTACAAGCACAATCCAAAAAAGGAACGCACCTGGAAGTAGACGTTTTCGACGGCGTGCTCTTGCTCCTCCAGCACCCTGCCCGCCTGGGTCATCGCCCGCCACCATACCATCTCAGTCGGGTTCGCCGGAACGCCGGCCAGCCGCCTCGCCGCAAGCCGAGCGATTTGAGAAGCCATGGCGATGAGATATTCTGGCGAACGAAGCGCGACGGGCGATATTAGTCGCGTTAAGAGACGGAAAGAATGTGAATAAAGTGGGAACAACAAAACGACGGATCACTGCAATGTTGCCCTTGACATTCACGTACATTGAAGAAAAAATCTTCTGGCGAATGGAACTTTTCGGTTGGTAGATCAGCTGATGTTGGCAACGACGGATATGAATGGAATAGAAGGACGGTAGAACCAGCGGATGCGCGCAAGTAAAGGATTCGTGGCAACAAATGAAAGCGGTGAATGGATGGCAGTGACGGATGGCGGGAAGAACGGCGAAATAATCGGAATGGAGGAGCAGGAGGAATGGCAGCGGCGATAATTCGGAAACGAATCTTCGAAAAATAGAAGGTATCTAGGTTCTAGAACTGGCTGGGGGATGACAGAATGCATACATTAAGGGGTGAAAGGGCTTTGGGAGCGGTTGAAGGGGAAAAGGGGATGGGGGGAAGCAGCAAGCGGAAAAACGGAGGCGGGGAAGCGGGATGCAGAAAGGAGGTGAGGTGGAGTGCAGGCCGTGTGTTTCCCGGATTTTCGTCTGTAACTTACTCAACCGTAGTTGAACTCGTTTGAGCGTTAAAACACCGGAATGGACCGTACATGAACGAACCTGACACGCCTCTGCACTGGTGGTGGTGTGGGTGAGATTCAATGCACGGACAAACCATTCAGGAGGGTAACAAGCGACGTTTTCTGCTGGGGCGAAGCATTCATCGCTTTCGCCAGGGGAACTTTCACTTCCAGCACTCGTATTGACGTCATCACAAGACCACGTCAGCTGGTACAATTGATGCCTGTTTGAGCCCCTCCCGGTTGCCTTATGAAGGGGGCGTATAAGCTGTCACGAGCATTTCGCATAAGTTTCGTCAATTCGCAGCTAGCTAAAAAGAATTCGCATGTGCTTATAAACTAGACTCTGCTACCTAGTTACCTAGTTTGACTTCAGTCTCTTCTGCTTGACTTCGGTCTCTTCTGCTTGACGCGCTTGTAATGTAGGTGCATAAGGCTGGGGAAACAACCTCGGGTGCAGCGTATCCATCCGGCGCAAGGCAAATTCGCGTGCATGGGGTGAGCATCAATTGTAGTGGAATTGGCCCAGACTGGCAATTGTTTCCTCCAATCAGTGGGCATTGAACCCGCTCACGATGGCGTGGAAGATATTTTCTTCCTTTCAGGAGGACAATCGGCCCTATCGCAGAGGAATATCGTTATTGTCGCGAACGCCGTCTAACTTTAGGATAATCTGGTAACCACTTCTGTAGCAAGAGTAGTGGGAACCATGTTATCAAGCTTTGACAGCCAGCCATTCACAGATTCAGCTTTTCTTTCACGAGAATTACAGAGGCTGAGAGCATCTGTTCTGCGAGAAGCAACGCTCTGCTGTTGGAGTCATGTGGAGGCTGTATCGCGTTGCGTTTAGATCACCATGCCACGCGCCGTATCGGTTACCGGAGCCGCTACCTGCTTCTGTTGGGGAGACATGGACTCGCATGACCGGTTTAGTTCCAGACGCTCCTTTTGGCCTTCGTGTGCGTTAATATCCTTATATGCTTCGTTCCTATCCTAACGGTTTTTTTGCCTTCCATTCCTACCTCACGACCAACGGTCGGATTTTGACTTTGGCTAGTGGGACGAATATCATGTCTGCATTAGCTTTCAGGATGACAAAATGCTCGCTGACAAAACTCGGTGGTATCTATTTTGATCGCTGACGACGTTTTCAATCACTATGTCGTCTGAGTATGTTCGGTCTCTCAACTGTCAATCCATGCAACATTCGATTGCAATTACTTTTTTCCAAGATATCAGGTGACTTTTGGATCGACACATTTGTCACCTATTGTTGTCCATCCATGCAATTTCCTCACGTTATTATTGCATTCAGAACATCAGGCTTGTCTCGAGCGGTCTACGGGATTCCACGTCCGCATCACCATCTGCAGCAAAGGCGAACTTAACGCCACCAGATACCAATGCTGGAAAGCCTCCTGTTGAGCCGCCTCAAAAGTCACCAGATAGCCGTGCAGGAAAGCCCCTCGACGCTAGCAACTATGGAAGCAGCATCAGCACTCCCAGCGGCGAGATTAACACCACTAACAGTGTCAGGGGAAGCAGCAGAGTTAGCAGCAGCAGCAGCAGTGGTGGAGAAGTGTTTGACGTGGCAATAGTTGGCGGAGGTCTCATTGGTGCTGCTGCGGCATGTGCACTCTGTAAGCCTTTCACTCTACAGTGCTGATTCATGCATTGCTCCACCTGATTACCCATATTTGTCCATCCTGGGAGCTCTGCTGCTGCTTGTAAACCGCTGAGTCGTCTCCATGTCAATTGTGCATCTGCTAGTAAACTCTCTCTTCGTTCCTCCTGCCCAATTGTGCTCCTGCAGCCACCAGTCGACTCACGCGGGACCTCCGCATCGCTCTCATCGATGCTCTCCCTCTCTGTCAGGCGCCACGCCACGCCTCCCACAGCAGCAGCAGCAGCACGCCTACTACCGCGGCAACGCAGAAAATCTCAGCTCCTGATGCGCGAGTGATCGCTGTGAATCCTTCATCCATCGACCTCCTCAAGCGTGAGTCGCTTGCTGGTCTGTGTCTCTGAGAAGGGAGCTTCACAGTTAGCCCTAGGAAGCATATTTTTCCTGCACCGACAACCTGTGAGAGAATGTCGTTGCTGCATGAATCTCACTCACTCTGATGCACCCAAGGTGAGTGTTGGCGAAGTAAATGCGTGATTCATCCACCCTCAAAGTGTGGGCCTCCAGCCAGACTGGAACTCCCGAAATTATGCTTGATCCATGTGCCTGAAACCATTCTATCACGCAATAACCTGTTATTACGTCCTTGAACTGTTCAGACGGACTCCTTTGTTGTGCATGGGGGAATACTGTAAGTTGTTGAGTAGTAATACCTACGCATTCGAGGATATCGAATGAGATTTGTTAAAAATCAGGTGTTTCGCTCATATCCTCGCAGGTGTGGGTGTGTGGGATGACATTGCATCTGACACGGTCCGTGCAGCTCCGTTCCAGCACATGCAGGTGTGTGCAGGTTTCACTATCACTATTGCATCCTTACCTTGGAAAAAAAAAGAGTCTGTTTATATGGTTCAGCGTGTCTGGTCATCATTAACCTATGGTCCCAGCCAAGCGCATTGCAGTGCGTTCACATCAAGCTTAAAGCCATCCACGCATCCTTCTCGCGATTTCCCACTCCCCCCTGCTCTCATAACTGTTGGTCTGCGTTCCCTGCTCGTGTTCTGTTTGTGCCCTTCCCTTCCTGTCATCCTTTTCTAGGTGTGGGACTTTGCAGGGCCAGGATTCATTCGCTTCAATGCTTCTGAAAGCCACCTCCCATATCTAGGGTATTTCCCTTTTTGAGCCATTTTGTAGTCGACTCAAAACTTTTATCGGTTTGTGATTTTGCCTGACCAGGTTTCATTCCCTTCAATGCTTTTGAGAACCATCTCCCATGCCTAGGGTGCCTTCCCTTGCTTTATGATGCCGAATCATGCCATGCCTGCGTGCAAAGTGCTTGCTTATAACGTTCCATGCGATGACATTCCAACTTAGGCATCGTCCCTTCAGCTTCCCGGCTTCTCTGTCTTCCCTGACTGCTGTGGATGCTCCGTGTTGTTTGCACTCATTCTCATCTGCTCAGTGTCCACTCCGTTCCACTCCTTTTTCTGTTGCATCCCACCAATCATCCACTTGCTGTACTCTCAGATACATAGTAGAGAATAAACTGATCGTCTCCAGCCTTCTTCGGAGAATACAGGTGGGTGTCTGCACATGCAATTCATGAATACTTGCAGACGGCAACAAAGTGCAGTTTCCATCTTGATTACTGCCTGTGCCTGCGAAATCCAAGTCAGCATTATGTAAAGCGAGTTTTTTGTGAAGCATAGATGTGTCACCAATTTCAGTCACTTGAGCTGCCCATCCCTCCCTGTCCCTCATCTTTCCAACAAAGCTAACGCATTAACTGGCCAAACCATGTAACTTCTCGGTCGCCTCAAAAATACTCTTCCTCCCCATCCGCACCAATGCAGGACCATACTTCCGTCTCCTTCATCTCTCCAACAAAGCTCCAAACCATCAACTGGCCAAAGCCTTCTGACTCCTCCGCCGATGACACTCTCGTCAAAAGTGGGAACAGGACTGCTGATGGGGATGGGGATGGTTTAGCAAAGATCCACTTTGAGAGCCGCCCACCCATTCGAGCAAGGCTTGTGGTGAGCCCCTTCGCCTCTTCCTCCTGTGCTGCCTCCTTTGTCAAAAACTGCATGCCTTTTTTTTGCTGTACTGTCTGCCTATTCCTCCCCTCTCCCTTCTTGCCCTCTCATCTGTATCTCCTATTCTGAATCATCCCTCCCCTCCCCCCCCCGATCCCCCTCACCAACTTTGCTCTCGCATTTGTAATATTACCTCTTCTATGTCATTCAACCCCCCCACGTCCTCTCTCTCGTCTGTATCACCTCTTCTACGTCATCATCCCCTACCCAAATTCTCTCTCGTTTGTATCACCACTTCCGCATAATCACTCCCCCCCCTCCACCTCCTTGCTTCACAGATCGGAGCTGACGGTTCTCGGTCTCGCGTCCGTTCCCTTGCACATCTCCGCACCGTCGGATGGCCGTACCACCAGCGAGGAGTGATCGCGACTGTCGATCTCGCCTCCCCCAGCATCACAGCCTGGCAGCGGTTCCTCCCCTCGGGCCCTCTCGCCCTCCTCCCCCTGGGTGATCGTTTCAGTAATGTCGTGTGGTCGACCACCGAAGAACACGCCCTTAAGCTACAGTCCATGACCCCAGAAGAATTTGCACATGCTGTTAACGAGGCGTTCAGTAAAGAGTTTCCAGCGCCTGGGTTCTCTCAAGAGGGGTTGAAGCTGCCTTCTGTTCTTCGATCTGCTGCTTCTGTAGCTGGTGCTGGTGCTGGTGCTGCAGCTGCCGCTGCTGCTGCAGCTTCGGGTGCTGTTTCTTCTGCTGCTGCAGCAGCAGGGAAATCACTCATATCCGCTATTGCATCTGCAGCCTCCCTAGAATCCCTTGTGACACAATCTCCCATTAATCCCTTTTACAGGTCAAGCGCTTCGGACAAGTTTCATATGCCCCCGGCAGTTTTGTCTGCCCAAAGCAAGGTTCTTTCGTTCCCGTTGTCGCTACAGCATGCAGGCTCTTATGTTGCACCGAGATGTGTTCTTGTGGGGGATGCAGCACACACGGTGCATCCACTGGCAGGTCAAGGAGCCAATCTGGGCTTTGGAGATGTTACAGCACTTGTAACGGTGCTAGAAAAGCTGGTGGAAGTCGGAGAGGACATTGGAGAGGTAAGTGAAATTACATGCGGATTTGATAGACAATGCAAGGAAGATTGTTTTGTGTCGTCTGATGTCTTGGTAATTGTTTTTTGCAGGTGCAGCTCTTGAGGTCATATGAACGGGAACGTTTGGGAGCCAATATTGCCATGATGGGAGCCATGGACTCATTGAAGCGAGTGTTTGCTACCAACACATTCCCTTTGGCGAATGCACGTAGTTTAGGGCTATCCATCCTCAATGCGTCGCCATTGGCCAAGGAGAAGTTTGCTGCATTTGCATCAGGCACCATCCTTTAGTAGAGCATTTTTTTTCGAGCGCTTTTGTAAGCAATGCTTCAATGACTTCGCGCTTCATTAAATATCCATCGCTCTGCCGAGAAACGGGTCCGTGTTGTATGAGAGTGCTTAGGCACGTGCAGCTAACCTCAGAAAGAGCCCTTCGTGTGTCAATCGTTTGTTATGCACCAATCAGAATGTAGCGTTCTCTGCCGATTGCCTGAGTTGGACCCGACACGTCCTTCAGCCAGCCGCCAAAGCGAGGCAAGAGCTGTAACAGACTGTAAAATCGGGTTTGCGAGCATATGCGAGCGAGACGATGCTAACGAAGGAATTGCTTGGCGAAGGTCCCATTTCCAACTCCTAGGGCAGCTGAATCTTCAAACTCTCCCCAGAGCCATGCCTACCTTGCTCATATTTCTCTACATACCAATTCTTGGTTTCTGTTTAGCATTTTGACATTAGGTGTTATCCGCCTGCACCACTCTCGTTTTCTGCGCTCACGCTTCGTTAGAAACCTTATATTTGTTAGAACGTATTTCTCACTGCGGCGATGGCCGAGGAGGCTGTTGTGAAGAAGCGGAAGGTGATGGTGGCGCTCGACGGCAGCGAGTTTAGCCGCCAGGCGTTCGACTTCGCCGTCGGAAAGATCTTCCGACCCGAGAAGGACCTGGTGGTGCTGTTCAACGTCCGAGCTGCTAGCGGCGATGGTAAGTGCTGCGTTTTGTTCCGACGCATGGCATACCTTCTTACAGAACTCATTCGGCCTGGAGATTGAGATTTTTATGCATCTTTGGACGTATGTTTCACTGAAGGCAATAATTTAATGGGTTGTTGAATTCACAAGGTCCAATATGCGCTAACTTTCAAGGCCGTCGCACCCAGAATGGCTGGCAGCTGTCAGCGGTCTACTTCGAGTTGGAACATGATGCTCATGAGTTGAAACATGTTTGCACTTGAGATGGAACTCTTCGTGCACCTGAGCGCTTAGTTCGCCGACCATTGTGTTTCCCGAGGCCTTATTTCGAGGGTTGTTTAATTTCCCTTTCTGCTGGTTTTGTTTGTAGCTGGCGCTGAGAACCCTATTCTGGAGGAGTATAAGAAGTTGGCGGAGGAGAAAGGTTTGGAGCACGTCACAATTGAAGAGAAGGGAGATCCAAGGCAAGTTCTTTGCTCATTAAATGATGCCCCTATTAGAATGCAGTCCCAGAGTATACGTCATGTGCACTTCATATATTTTCCCGCTCCTGTGAAGTTCCTGGTTGTCGCTGAGGACCGTGTTTTGTAACCTTTTTTTTTCCCTCTTATCTTTATTTCATGGATGAAAACAGGGAGGCAATCATCAGCACCGTGGAAAAGGAGAGTGTTGATCTGCTCGTAATCGGCAGCCATGGCAAGGGCATGACCAAGCGCTTGCTGTTGGGGAGTGTCTCAGACTATTGTGCGCATCACTCTTCGTGCCCTGTGCTGATTCACCGACCCCAGTCGAAGAAACTTGTAGTGTAGTGGGCGTATAGCTCATCTGTAGAGTTTATTGAATGGTTGGTTTGTTTACCGGTATGGATTGTTGTAGTCTTCACACTTACCAATGGCTTCAGTTACATTCTTGTGCTGTATTAAAGGATTAGATACTGTACTAGCTCAAACTGCTCTTGCGCTGTATCTTTCATGATCTTGTAGACGGCCACGCACAGAAGCAAGCACGCAACGACACGTGTCACCCGAACCCCAATACGCCATCCAATCTCGTGTCGTGCCCCCGCCACGAGCACAATCCAGAAGAACGCTATCCATCTGTTCCCATCGTGACCAACCACTTACCACCTCCGATCACCACCCACCCACCACTTCTCTCACATTTTGTACTGTTCTGGACTCTTCTGTTTCTTTTCTTACCCCTTTCTCCTCTTTCTCGCTGCTTCGTCTCTTGTACGGTCTCAGGCATCTTCTGCTGCTGCTTGTTACGGCAGAACTCGAGCGCCTGTCTACGCTCCTGCTGCCAATTCCTCGTGCTCTGTTCGCTGTCGTGTTATTTCTTTGCTAGACCCCGAAACGATTAGCGAACGGACTGTACCGAGAGGATTTTAGCTTATACCTCTAGCTTGTAGCTACCAGGACGAGAGAATGGCTGCGGCTGCACGAGCGGCTGCGTACGTGGCAGTGGGGAGCATAGCGTTGCCAGACCAGCCTCAGCGGACTCGAACATGGTCGGCCAGTAGCACTCTAAGCACCGGCTTGACGCTTCGGCGGAACGATAGGTGTGCCTACAGCGAACGTTTCTTCCGTTTAAGAGTCAATTCCCCGTAAACGGTTAATGATCACAATTTTCGTTCATCGGCACTTACCGATGTTCCCACGGGCTGGTTTCCACGTGTCATGGTCTGGTGCTTCGCAGATGCGTTCGCCAGGCGTCGCGATCGCCAATGTGGGTCTGTGCAATGGACGCATCCTTCAGCGATGGTACGCATTTTTCTGATTTTGACTGTCGCAAGCTCTTTTGAACAAATGAAATCTATGTTCCCAACGTCCACCAGCCGACACTTCGAGTGGTGTCCCATGCTTTCTTGCTGCTTTCCGGACAGTGTATCTCTTTCCGTTGACAACGCTATTCATCTTTTTTGCACCTCACGACTCGTCCGTCAGATGTCACTATGAAAGAGTGTCGGTTACAACATCAACTCCTTTTAATCATTTTTTTCGTGATCACACATGTTTCCGTTTCGTTAATCAACCATGTTCTCCCGTTCTTCTCCAGAACCCCCAAAGGTGTTCCCGCGCATCGGAACCCGTGACCCCTACAAGCGCCTCGGGCTCGGCCGCGACGCGTCGACGGAGGAGATAACGGAGGCGAAGAACTACCTGGTGGAGGAGTACAAGGGCCACGAGCGGAGCCGCGAAGCCATCGAGGAGGCGTTCGATAAAATCATCGCGGAGAAATTCAGAGAGCGGCGGAAGTCCAAAATCAACCTCAAGGTGTGTGCGTTATTTTGTTTCTTGATCGATATTTTGTTTGGAAATTAAATCTCAGAATCTGAGAATTGTTGCTGTGCCTCGACCTTTACGAGCGGAGCGGCTGGGTCTCAGACATTGTGTATGGGCTGTGTGAAGGTTTCTAGTTGAGCCGGCTCAGGATACATACACATGTGTTTCTGCTGGAATCACAACGGAAGTTTATCAATCAAATGAAGAAGATTGTAACCAAGAGCAATGTAACCGTGCCATGCCATGGCGCTCGTTTGATTCCACGCTACCACCACGAATTTTCTGCACAATGCAACGTCAGCCTTGACCATTAAACCCGAAACCCTGGCGACAGCCACCATCCTGGTAACCTGCCGTTTTCCATCCATCCCCCCCTCCCCACCACCCTCTCCCCCCCCCCCCCCCCCCCAACCCCGCGCTCTCTGGTTCTTATCTAATGTTCCGACGGCCCCTCCTCATTCCTGCTTTTCCTGTGTATCCAGGCACACATTAACATGGTGGATGTGCCCAAGCCATGCCACATTGTCTAGTAAAGTGAAGTTTTCCGCCCTCACCACCCAATTACCTCTCAGGCGGATCTCAAGAAGAAAGTGGCGGAGGCACCGCCCTGGATCCAGGCGCTCATTGACATGGTGGATGTGCCCAAGCCGGCAGTGATTGCGCAGCGAGCAGTGCTCTTCGCTCTCATCGCCGTCTGGAGTATCATGAACCCTGCTGAGGGCGGGCCCGCGTTCCAGGTGAGACGATATGGGCATAATCTCCCCTGAAAAGCCTCAGCTGGCAGAGGTGATGCTGGTGCAGAGGGAGGTGCTCTTTGCACTCATCGCCGTCTGGAGTATCATGAATCCTGCTGAGGGCGGGCCGGCTTTCCAGGTGAGATAAAAATGCAAAAGTATCTCACAGAGGTGATGTGGGAAATTTAGCTGGCAGAGGTGATGCTGGTGCAGAGGGAGGTGCTCTTTGCTCTCATCGCTGTCTGGAGTATCATGAACCCTGCTGAGGGCGGGCCGGCTTTCCAGGTGAGACATAAAGGAGCTGACCAAGGCAAAAGTACTCCTGGTAAGATTCGAGCTGGCTCAGGTGAGTGACGCTGGTGTAGCAGGTGGTGCTCTTCGCTCTCATCGCCGTCTGGCTCGAGCCTTACGTTATGAGCCGTACCGTATTGAAACCCCCCACCCGCCACCCTCCCACCCTGCACACCGTCCCGGCTTCTTATGTGTTTCAGGTCAGGCTGCGTTGGCTCTGGGCCTCTCAGTGTACCTGATTAAGGAGCGGCTTAAGAGCATTACCAGAGCGCTCATTCATGCGTGATGTGATGTGAACCCTGATGATCCTTCTTTTTTTGAGTCGTCTCAAAAATAGATTCATTCGTGATGTGAACCCTGCTGCTCCTTCCCTTCACGCCATACCGTCTCCCTGTGCGTTTCAGGTTGCGGTGGCTCTGGGCCTCTCAGTGTACCTCATCAACGAGCGGCTCAAGAGCATTACCAGAGCACTCATTATCGGGTACGTGGTTCACCCCCTACTCTCCGCATGCAAAGCACTCCCAAAGAGCGCCCTGCGCCCTGTGCTCGTCTTCGTGTTGGCTAACCAAAGAGTGCTCGTGCTGGCCAGCCAGGGATTGCACGTGTTGGCTAGGTCACAGGCTCGTTGATCATGCCCTTTGTTCCCGCGTATGCTTTTTGAGAATTCTCATAAAACATACGTTGTTCCCTCGGTGCCCTTTATGCTCTTCTGAGAATTCTCAAAAGCGACTCGTTGATCATGCCCTTTGTTCCCTCGGTGCCCTTTATGCTCTTTGAGGCGACTCAACACCCATGCCGTTCATCCCAGCAGGCATTTTCCCCGGCTTCTGAACTCTTGAGCTATGCACTTCCTGCGTTATCCATGTCCTCTTTCCCTCCCTTCATCCTTCCCTCCGACTTCTGCACCATTTCCCCTAACCCAACCTGTCAGGTTCGCCACGCTCGTGGTTGGCTGGATCACCGGTTCCTTCCTTGTGCCATTCATCCCAGAGGGTATTTTCCCTGGCTTCTGGAGTCTTGAGCTCGGCACGTCCCTTGTCACCTACGTCTTCCTCTGGTTCTCCACCACCTTCCTCAAGTGAAACCAGATCCACAGTGGTATAGATGTCCGGTACTGAGACTTGCTTTTTGGCACTTGAAATTTTGATGTCTCAAGCTCGGCACGTCCCCAACTGCATGTGTGTTCCGCTCTCCAACACCTTCCTCGAGTGAAAATGATAGGGCCTGGGGTTGTTGTGACTTGGTGGCTGAGGCGGTCAACTAGGTGGTGGAGTGTAGGTGGAGTGTAGCAAGAACGCGGTAGGTAGTGGCAAGCAGCATAGCATTTGACGTTTTGGTGCTGGGCAGGTAGAATGTGACCTACGTCTTCCTCTAATTCTCCACCTGCTACCTAAGAGCGGAAACGGATTCGCTTGATAGAAACGCAATGAAGTGACCAGCGTGCCTTTCAATACTGAACCAGAGTGCCTCTGAGTTGGAGGTCTGTGCTAGTGAAACATAGCAGTACGAAATTTGAAGCTAGAATGTATTCCACCGACGGCTTACTGTAAATCACGGAAAACTTTTGAAGGAGATGAGAACGCGTTTTTTTTTTTTTTTTGGTGAATGTTATTACACTATAGTAGTGCATACATTCTCAGTCGTAACTGAGAACGCGTTTCTGGGGTCGGGTTGGGATGAGAGCGCGTTCCAATCCAGCGCCAGTCCCGGCGCCAGTCCCGGCGCCAGCCCCGGCTGGTATCCTCTGCTCGAGTCGCACAAACCCAATTCTCCCAAACCCAAATCAGCCCTCCGTTGGCCACTTCGTTCCCAGCCGAAAAAATCTCGTCCTGTTGCCTCTCTCCCTGCACGGGCATTTATAACACGCTATTCCATTGTTGTCGAGACTATCCCACTCGATCCCCAGCTCCACAACTCTTTTCCTTCTTAGTAGTAGATCACGCAACCCGGCCGACGAGAGGAGCCACTGACGCCGTTGCCTGCACATTTTCCAGCATGGTTCCTCGATTTTCATTTTTATTCCGCCTGCTCATGGCTTTCACCGTCTCCTGCGCTATCCTGACGTGTGGATCCAGCCTGAGGGTACAGTGCTCTGAGCGAGTCGCTCACGATTTTATCCTTCCTTCCTTTTCATCGTTTCATACTAGTAGCGACATTATTGAGAGGTTCCCTTCTCCTACCTAGTTACCGTTGCGTCTGCTGCTCCCGCTGATCCCCCGCAATCCCGCTTTCCTCTATGCCCGTGCTCGCGTTCCCTTGAACAGGTGTCCGATCTTTTTTGCTCGCGGACTTGCGCCGAGTTCCAATGCAATAGTGAGTGCTTTTCTCTGCATTCGCCTCCTTCCTCCTCATACACACACGCACGCACACGCATTCTCGTTTTTTCTGTGAATGTGTGAAATTGGCTCGAATTGAGTCCAATGACACACACATTCTCTGGCATGAAAATTGTGCATCTTTCAACGATCCGGGATACTGGGAGATGCCAAGTATTTAGAATATTTTAATCAATATGATAAGACTTTACTTCCGTACTCCGAGTCGGAATTCTAGGACACAGGAAATCCGCGAACTGGGTTTGATACCGCTCTCTCTCTCCCCATCTATAACACACACTCACACAATCCGACGCAACCACATGAATGCCTAAACCCACACATACTCACACACGCAGCCCTCTCTCATCATGTGACATAATTCTCGAGTTTGCAGCTCGCTGAGAATTATGTCACAAGGACCTGCTGCACCATGTGTGACTGAGTCAGGGTGATGGTGCGGCGTGCTCTGTCCTGGGTGATCTGCAAGCCAAGGTAGCTGCGCAGCTCACCCAGGTCTGTGCACGTGTGTCTCTTCTGCAGCTCGGACTTCACCTGGGCGAGGGCCTCAGTGTCAGCAGTAGCAAAGACCAAGTCGTCGACGTACACAAGGATATAGAACGGCGGCAGCGAAGTGTCTGTGCGCAGAAACAGTGACGGGTCAGCAGTCGAAGGCGCAAACCCAAGAGCCGCAAGTGTAGTCCTCAGTGTGTCGTGCCACTCACGGGGCGCCTGGCGGAGACCGTAGACTGGCCGGCGGAGGCTCCACTGAGTACCAAGAGGGAACGGCCCAGTGAAGCCAGGTGGACGGCGCAGCCAGATCTCCTCGTGCAGGCTGCCCTGTAGGAAAGCGGTACTGAAGTCAAGGGAGTGTAGCTCGTAGTCACGCTGAACGGCAACGTGCAGCAGCACCCGAAGAGTAGTCATCTTCGGGGTGGGGGAGAAGGTCTGGAAGAAGTCAACTCCCTCTCGCTGACTGAAGCCTCGAGCAACGTAACGAGCCTTGAAGACAGGCGGGGAACCCGGCGGCCGCTTCACCCTGAAAATCCACATGCCATCGACGATGTTCGCCCCAGGAGGGGGAACCTCATCGACGCAAGTGCCTGTGGACTTCCAGGATGCCATCTCTGCGTCCATGGCTGCCTGCCACTGAGAGGAGTACTCACCCGCGATCGCCTCAACGTAAGAGCGCGGTGTGGGGATGTCTATAGCATCCGGGTCTCCCTCAGGGGCAAGCAGCATGGCCACGAGATGAGGCGCAGCGGCTGCAAGACACTCAAGGTCCTCGTGCCTGTCCTCAAGGACGTCCGTACTAAGAGCACACTCACCCCCGACGGACGGAGGACAGACAGACTCAGACTCAGCAACAAGGCTAGCAGCGCAGTCTAGACGACAGGCAGCCGCAAAGTCAACAAGCTCAGCCACCAAAGCAGACGCAGCAGCAGACTCAAACGAGGGGTCAGTGACAACAGTGGCGAGCAGACGCGTGACAGTAGGGTGCTCAGCACGAAACCGGTCTGACTCAGGGTCCGGAACGTGAGGCAAGGAAGACGCAGGGGGAGACGGCAGAGAAACAGACTTTGGACCAGAGGAAGGACGACGGACGACAAGGCGTGCGGTGGGGACAGGCGGCGTACGCGGACGCGCAACACGACGAGTGGGACTACTAGGACGAACAGGCGAGACAGGACGCGACGCAGGCTCACGACGCTCAGTAAGACCCCCTGACCGCTCAGTGTAAGGAGAGGGAGCAGGCAGCGGCGAGCCAGGCAGTAACGGAAGACCAGTAGAAGACGGAAGACTAAGAACCTGGCGAAGCACAGAGTCAGGGGGCGGCTGAGACGACGGAGACGGCGGAGCGAAGAACAGGCGTGGCTGTGCAGGACCAGCAGCACCAGTAGCTCCAGCACCTCCAGAAACTCCAGCACCCACAGCGCCAGCTCCTCCAGGACCAGCTCCACCAGTAGCAGAACCCCCAGAACCGGCACCCCCAGTCCCAGGGTCTCCAGTCGCAGTGTCCCCAGCAGCGGCACCCCCAGAAACGGTACGCCCAGCCCCAGCAGCTCCAGGACCGCCAGCAGAAGAGCCTCGGGCTCCAGTGCGACCCTGACGGCGACCGTACCAGTCGTGCAGCTGCTGGGAGGTGAGAGGCACACGCGGACGAAGGCGGCCACTCCAAGGGGACCGCACACCAGCAGGCTCAGCACCCTCAGACCCAGTAACTCCAGGCTCAGCACCCCCAGACTCAGCACCCCCAGAACCCTCACACGTAGGCTCCGCACCTCCAGGCTCCGCACGTCCAGGCTCCGCACCTCCAGGCTCCGCACCTCCAGGCCCCGCACCGCCAGACTCCTCACACGCAGGCACAGTACCCCCAGGCTCCGCACCTCCAGGCTCCTCACGCACTGGCTCAGCATTCCCAGTCGCAGCACCTCCAGGCTCCTCACGCGTAAGCTCCGCACCCCCAGGCCCAGTACCCCCAAGCTCCCCACCCCCAGGCCCAGTACCCCCAACGACAGTACCACCTCCAGCAGGACCGGAGTCACCAGTGACCTCAACAGGTGCAGGAACGGGAGGGTCTACCTGAGAAACACCTGAGGGAGCAGGACCTGGTGCGGGGAGGGGGTGTACCTGGGGAGAACCTGGAGCGAGGAAGAGCGGCGGGGGAGTGCGAGGAGAAGTACGGTAGGGAAAGAGACGGTAGAAGGGAACGGACTCGTCAAAGGTGACGTCCTGAGACGCAAAGACACGGCGCGAGGTGGGCTCGTAGAACTGCCAGCCAGGCGCGTCAGGAACAAAGCCAAGGAAAACACAGGGAATGGCACGAGCGGAGAGCTTGTCCGCAGTAGTATCGCGGACAAACGCACGAGCACCCCAGACCCGGAAACGCGACGCATCACCAACCTTCCCCGTCCACAGCAGTGTGGGCGAGGTCTCCGGCAAGGAGACACGGGGCCAGAGGTTGAGCTGATGCGCTGCGTACCGGACAGCAAACGGCCACAGAAAATGGGGAGCCGCCGCATGGATCATGGAGGTACGGGCGACCTCCATGACTAAGCCAATGCGGCGCTCAGCAACCCCATTCTGCTGTGGAGAGGCCGGAAGCGTGAACGACTGGGTGATGCCGTGCTCCGCACAGAAGGCTCGCAGGAGGTCGGAGGAGAACTCACCACCTCTATCAGAGTGCAGACGCAAGACAGGAAAGTCCGACTGGAACCGCTCGCGGAGCTGGAGACGAGCAGCGCGGATCCAGGGGATCAAAACAGCAGGGACGTCCCCCTTGCTGCGCAAGGGGAAGTCCGTGGTGTAGCGCGTGTAGTCGTCAACTACCAGCAGGAAGTACCGCTCACGGCCCTGTCCATGGACGCGGGCCGGGCCCCACACGTCCAGGTGGAGAGTCTGCAGTGGAGCCTCTGTGGGAGGAAACAAGGAGGAGTGAGGAGCGGCGCGCTGCCGCCCCTCGACGTTGGGAATGCAGGGCGGCGCAGGCGAGGGAGGGAGGGCAGGGAGAGACCTAGGAAGGCCAGAGACCAGGCAACGAGAGTGCATGCTACGAAGGCGAGGCAGGGAGGGGTGACCAAGGCGGTGGTGCCACAGGAGAGTGTCGTGGGACAGGCGGCGGCACTCACACTGGGTAGCAGCCTGAGCAGACGCGTACAGCTGTGGAGACAAAGGAGTGGAGCGTGAAACAGTAGTGAGGTTGTACAGACTCGACCCTGGCTCACGTGTGAACGTGGCCAGGTGGCGGCCGGTCTTGGAGCATGTACAGATCGCCACACGCTGTCCTCCAGGAGTCCAGGTGTCAACCCAGTGATCCTGAAGGACGGCGTTGCTCACCAGGTTCGTAGAGAACGAGGGAACATGGAAACCAGACAGCTCACCAGACGGGACCGCTGGGCACGGAAGCACAGTCGCGGCCCGTGCAAGCACTGGACCCCCAGAGGGGTCAGCCAGTGAGACAGGAACAGGTGCAGGGAGAGGGGTGACAGTGGTGCTGTCACAAAAGAAACAGCGCGAAGCACCAGAGTCAAGTGTAAACGTGTGCAAAGCCTGAGCGGACACAGTACCAGGGACGCAGTACCAGGGAGCACAGCACGTCAGGCTCAAACTCGAGAACAGAAATGGTTGCCATGGTCACAGGGCGGGTAAATGCAGCAGGCACAGGCTCAGGCTCAGGCTCAGGTGCAGGCAGCAGGCAAGCTCAGGCAGCAGGCAGCAGGCAAGCTCAGGCAGCAGGCTCAAGCAGCAGGCAAAGTCTTGAGGGTAAGGCAGTTCTTAAGGCAGGCAGGCGCTCAAGGCAGGGCACAGGCAGGGCAGGGCACGCGCGGCTGCGAGCTGCGAGCGGGATAGAACAGCGCGGCGCGGGCTGCTCGGGCAGTGCGCGAGCCACGCGCGGGCTCTGCAGGCTGCGCGTGGGCTGCGCGAGCTCGGCGCGGGCTGCGCGGGCTCGACGCGGGCTGCGCGGGCGGTGCGCGGGGCAGCTGCAGGCCGCGTGCGGGCTGCGCAGGCTCAGGGCGGGCTGCGCGGGCGTCTAGGAGAGCGGGACGCGGGTGGCAGCAGTAGCGCGCGCTAAAAAAAAAGGGCTATGCGCGGGCTCAGCCGAGGCGCGCGCGGGTAGCAGGCAAGGATAAGAAGGAGTAGGTGGGGTAACACTGTAACCGGTGGGCCCAAATCTTAGGTCCTAAGACCTAAAGCTCTGATACCATCTTAGAATCTTAGACTAGGAAGAAGTGATTCGATTAGGTCAAGGGGGGGGTACAAGAGAGAATGTCGAGAGAATTTCTGTACCCCCTAGTGCTACCCCACTACAGCCTAGATAAAACTAACATGCATATACAGTTTGACAGAAACCCTGTTACAAGTTCTGTAGGTGGCGCATGTTGCATGATGCAAATGGGTGTTGTATGTTGGAATTGGGGAAGTTGATGTGCCATGTGTAAATTGAGGGAGTGGAGAGATCATAGTGGTAGTTGAGGAAGCCCAGTGCCTTTCCATATATGCAGTATGATGCGAAAAGGGGGAAAGTTGTTGGTCTAATTGTAGCTGAAGGGGTTGAAGAGATCATCATACCCAGTTGAGGAAGCCCAATGCTCCCACTGAACATTTAAATTCAATAAAAGTCACCACAGACACGCCGAGAAGCAACCTTATGATTATCCCTCAGATGGTTACCTCAACGTGTTTTAAGAGTTGGCACAGAATCTCAAGGTTGGCAGAAGCTCCCAAGGTTGGCAACAGCTCCCAAGGTTGGCAACAGCTCCCAAGGTTGGCACCAGTTCTCAAGGTTGGCAACAGTTCTCAAGGTTGGCAACAGTTCTCAAGGTTGGCAAAAGCTCTCAAGATTGGCAAAAGCTCTCAAGGTGGCAAAACTCCCAAGCTAAGAGCGTGTTCCTACGGCCTCGTATCAGGCAACCTCGTATCAAGTTCGCGTCGAACCGTACTAAAAGGCATCCAAACGCAGTCGAACACACTGAAACGCATTTAACCGCGCGAAGCTGATACGAGGTGTAGGAACACGCTCCAAGGCGGTAAGAACATAAGCAAAAGACCGACTCCACTGGGGATCGAACCCAGAATCTCTGGTTCCGTAGACCAGCGCCTTATCCATTGGGCCATGGAGTCACGTTTGACAGTTAGTCAAGTTATTTATAATAAATACCGTTTTGTTTGTGAACTCCCAAGATCGCTGTTCACGTTTCGCATGAACTACAACTGACCAAGTTTCCTCCATATTGCTACCTCCCACTCGGTATATTATCGCTCCATATCGCTATCTCCATTCTCGTCATTTGTCAACCGCTATTACCTTACCGTACGCGCCTCGCATCTTAGAATCCGCCACGGCAGCTTCGGCAGCCTAAGTGGGTCATCCTGGTCTGCCTGACAGGATCGGATAGTTGGCCTAGGTGGTCTGGCCTAATTAGGAGGAATTGGTCAGTACTATTCAGGAAGAAATTGAATTAGTCAGTTCTAGTGGAGTGGGTAGGTAGATAGGTGGTATTGCGGGCTGCGGACCGCTTGCTGGTGATGGCAGCGCAAGACCCGTTCTACCTCGTCCGCGACGAAATACAAGATTCGGTATGCGATGGAAGTGTAACCTTACTAGAAGAGCGAAATTCAGGATTTCGCATGTTTTCGGATTCAGGCGTAACCACACGGAACACAGTATTTGGGACGTGATTAAATCTAGGTATTCGGTGTTGACTCGAATCAGAGCGAAATGCCAAGTCGAGGCTTGTGCATGGTTTGTGAAACATAACATGCCGTAATTGGCAACGACAATCGCGCGAGCCACGATAAGCAACACAGGGGTCGGTACCCGTTTCCCTAGGCTTGCGTAGCGTTCAGCTTGTGTTACCGTAGCATGTGTAACGCTCGGCTTGTGTAACCGTTAGCTTCTGTAAGTTGTGCAACCCTAAGCGTGTGGAGCCTTTAGCTTGCAAGCCTTAGCTTGTGTTACCTTTAGGTTGTGTAACGCTAAGCTTGTGTTACCCTAAGCTCGTGTCACCCTAAGCTTTTAAGTTCACCATCATCTGTCATTCATCAGTCCCTGTCGCATTCATCAGTCCCTGTCGCATTCATCAGTCCCTGTCGCATTCATCAGTCCCTGTCGCATTCATCAGTCCCTGTCGCATTCATCAGTCCCTGTCGCATTCACCAGGCCGTGTCGCATTCACCATGCAGGTATCCACGCTCCAAAACGAGGCGTTTACATCAGGGTGCATTAGCAGTCGACTCAAAATACACCCCGTTACCTATCCTGTCGAAGCCATTTGCAACCTTCAGCCCTCCTTTCCATCCTCCCTTCCCCCTTCCGTCTCTCTCACTCTTCCCCATTCCAACCCCCCTTCCGTCTCTCTCACTCTTCCCCATTCCAACCCCCCTTCCGTCTCTCTCACTCTTCCCCATTCCAACCCCCCTTCCGTCTCTCTCACTCTTCCCCATTCCAACCCCCCTTCCGTCTCTCTCACTCTTCCCCATTCCAACCCCCCTTCCGTCTCTCTCACTCTTCCCCATTCCAACCCCCCTTCCGTCTCTCTCACTCTTCCCCATTCCAACCCCCCTTCCGTCTCTCTCACTCTTCCCCATTCCAACCCCCCTTCCGTCTCTCTCACTCTTCCCCATTCCAACCCCCCTTCCGTCTCTCTCACTCTTCCCCATTCCAACCCCCCTTCCGTCTCTCTCACTCTTCCCCATTCCAACCCCCCTTCCGTCTCTCTCACTCTTCCCCATTCCAACCCCCCTTCCGTCTCTCTCACTCTTCCCCATTCCAACCCCCCTTCCGTCTCTCTCACTCTTCCCCATTCCAACCCCCCTTCCGTCTCTCTCACTCTTCCCCATTCCAACCCCCCTTCCGTCTCTCTCACTCTTCCCCATTCCAACCCCCCTTCCGTCTCTCTCACTCTTCCCCATTCCAACCCCCCTTCCGTCTCTCTCACTCTTCCCCATTCCAACCCCCCTTCCGTCTCTCTCACTCTTCCCCATTCCAACCCCCCTTCCGTCTCTCTCACTCTTCCCAATTCCAACCCCCCTTCCGTCTCTCTCACTCTTCCCCATTCCAACCCCCCTTCCGTCTCTCTCACTCTTCCCAATTCCAACCCCCCTTCCGTCTCTCTCACTCTTCCCCATTCCAACCCCCCTTCCGTCTTTCTCCTCCATTCGCCCCTTCTCCCCGCCTCCCCAGGTGTCCAAGGTACAGGATGACTACAGCAAGTGGGAGCGGCTAGGGGCGAGCAGCCAGGAGAGAGACGCGCTCTCAAAGACGATACTGGCCGACACAGAGACGCTCGAATGGGAGGTGCGTATGATGAGAACATGAGGTCATTATTAGGCGCTTCAGAAAGCGAGCAGCCAGGAGAGGGAGACGCTCTCCAAGACGATACTGGCCGACACAGAGACGCTCGAATGGGAGGTGCGTGGCGGTGGTGAGAGGTGCGTGTTGGTGCTGGGAGGTGCGTGGCCGTGGTGGTGGAGTGGGTGGTGGTGTTGTGAGGTGGGCGGTGGTGCTGGGGGGTGGGTGGTGGTGTTGGGAGGTGGGTGTCGGTGCTGGGAGGTGGGTGAGCAAATTAAACGCCTTCACTCTTGCGTCATCTTGCCATTCCTTTCATCCCTATCTGTCTGTCTGCTTGTCTGATTGCCCCTTCCTGTTCACATTCCCTTTGTCCAGTTAGAAGAGTTGCACAGGGCTATAGGCGTGGCAGAGAGGGACCCGTCCTGCTTCAACATAGAATAGCAGGGCGAGGTGGAGACTTTTGAGTCGACTCAAAAGTCACCTCGTGGTAGAGAGGGACCCGTCCTGCTTCAACATAGAAGAGCAGGGCGAGGTGGAGAGCAGACGCCAGTTAGTTGCCGTGTTACCCTACCTACCATGTTACCCTACCTGCCGTGTTACCCTACCTACCACGTTACCCTACCTGCCGTGTTACCCTACCTACCATGTTACCCTACCTGCCGTGTTACCCTACCTACCATGTTACCCTACCTGCCGTGTTACCCTACCTACCGTGTGCTGTGACTGGCTGTTCCCATTTCCCATCCCCACTCCACAGCTAGAGGAGTTGGACAGAGCAATAGGCGTGGCAGAGAGGGACCCATCCCGTTTCAACATAGAGCCGGGCGAGGTGGAGAGCAGACGCAAGTGGACAGGCAGCACGCGGGATCAGATCTCCATGATCCGATCTGCCATCCAGGCAGCGGCAGCGGAGCGGGCGGCAATGCAGAAGGAGGCGGAGAGGAGGGAGCTGCTGAGAGCGCAGGCAGGCGCTGCAGCCAAGGCTGCTGCTAAGAGCAGCGCTGGCGGGGAGAACGAGAGCTTTGCTGCTTCAGAAGATGACAGACAAGCACTCATAATGAGGTGAGTGATTCTTGTAACAAAATAGGGCAAATATATGAAATTATTGGCAAGACAATATATAGGCATTGAGGTAGATTATAGTGATAACGACCAAATGGAAATACAAGTCAGTGTCGTCTGGCTAGGATTGGTGGTATTGAGGCCTGTAACGTTCGCTCATGTAATATCCGTGTTCTTTATGTAATGCGCTATTTTTTCATGCTGAACCCCCCCGTAACGAGTACAGGAAGCAAGACTACCAGTTGGACGCCATGAGTCAGAGTCTGGCTTGGATTGGAGGCAAAAGGGCGTATTCACGCATGCAATGTACAATTTACCTATACTGAATCCCATTGTAACGAGTACAGGGAGCAGGATGACCAATTGGACGCCATGAGTCAGAGCCTGGCACGGATAGGAGGCATGGGCATTGCCATTCACGAGGAGCTTGGGTCCCAGGTGAGCTGCCAGGTGGTCAGGTGAGCTGCCAGGTGGTCAGGTGGTCAGGTGGCTACCAGGTGGTCAGGTGAGCTTTTGTGGGTTCAAGTTATACCTCTGTCAACCTAATTTCTGTCATTCTTTGCGTGAGTTGCTCGTTGCCTATCCTACCATTTTGAAGCATTCTTCCCTTCCCTCCTTCCCTCCTTACCGTTGCACCAGTGAACTCTCTGCCGTTATCTCTTCTCCCCCTCCCTCCCTCCCTCCCTCCCTCCCACCCTCGTCCCATGGGCAGGAGTCACTAATAGGGGAGTTGGACGAGGGTATGGAGAGGACTGGGGGGCGGCTAGGGCTGGTACAGGTGAGATACTTTTCGAGTGATGGTTTGGGTGATGCTTAGTTTGTGTGAAGCCTGGTTTGGGTGATGCCTGGTTTGGGTGATGTCTGGTTTGGGTGATGCCTGGTTTGGGTGATGCCTGATTTGGGTGATGCCTGGTTTGGGTGATGCCTGGTTTGGGTGATGCCTGGTTTGGGTGATGCCTGGTTTGGGTGATGCCTGGTTTGGGTGATGCCTGGTTTGGGTTGATGCCTGGTTTGGGTGATGCCTGGTTTGGGTGATACCTGGTTTGGGTGATGCCTGGTTTGGGTGATGCCTGGTTTGGTTGGGTGATGCCTGGTTTGGGTGTTGCCTGGTTTGCTTGATGGTTCAAGAAATAACTGCTTTTGGTGGTGGTGTGGGCTCAGGTAGTTTCAGCTCAGTTCAGTGTTCTGTGACTGATTCAGTTTCCTGATTGAGCCGCTTTGTTCTAGCTATAGACATTACACTCTCGTTCCAGGTAGGATGTGCATCACTCGAAGCCATTCAACAACAGCCCTCCTATCTCCTCCCTTCGCCTGTTCCCCTACCCTTCCTCTCTTAGTTCTTCTTTCCTGTTTTTTCTGTAAAAAACGTTAAGAGCAGTGATTAAGTGTCGGCTTGTTTTGACTTCACGTATTCTCGTCCCAATCTGCCCTCCACCCTCCCTCCTCTGCTCTCCTCAACTCTCCTCCCTTTCCTTTGTCGGTTCTGCTATGAACAAAAGAAGATGGCATCATGGTGTTAGTGCTGAAAGGGTCCCCTTTACGACTCATAAGTCACCTCCTCCCTTGCCTCCCTCTCCTTCCTCTCCTCCCTCCCCTCCCTCTCCTTCCTCTCCTCCCCACCTTTCGCTTTCCTGCTTCGCTATCAACAGAAAAAGATGACAGTGGTTCTGAAGAAGGCTGGGCTGAAGGGACAGCTGTGTATTCTCCTCGCTCTCGTTATCGCCTTCATCGTCCTCCTCATCCTTATCTTCTACGATTGACGGTGTTTGATTCCATGCATGCACCTACCATACCTCTTGAGTCGACTAAAGAGTCACCTCGTTACAATGGCACACGACTCATCATCGCCTTCCTCGTCCTTCTCATCATCCCATACACCTACTCTACCTCTTTTATCTACTCTGCGATTCAAGCAACAGTTTCTCCCATGCGCTTGCTAATAATCATCGTCTTGTATAATACTTCACAACTGAAGCTGCATCTGATCTGATCCCATTTCATTCTCATTGTCCTCCCCATCTTTCTCTACTTTTCTTGTTGCTCTTATTATGGTAATCGGTACATTAAATTCCTCCTCTTTCGTGCCATCACCATCATTAGTTTTTATGACTCCCTACAAATATTATTCCATTTGATGCGTCTAACCAACAGCTAATTGCTCTCATGCTATTGTGTTTTGTTTTCTATATAGCCTGCCACAGAATGTACGTAATTTTTTGTCTTGTTTTTACATCCTCTCGATTGCACTGCTATCCAAGTAATGCCAAGCTCATAACGAGACACCCATTCCGAAACCTCCGTTTAGTAGGCAACTAGCTTAAAGAGGGCGTCTCATATTTTCTCCGTTTTACAGTTGGTTGGATTTAACACTTGGTTGGCCTCCGTGACTGGTTGACGAATCACAAAATTTGTGATTAGGTGGGGTCGCGTTTCTGTCGAAACCAGTCATCGACGCGAGCTTCCAACCAAGTGTTAAATGCTCGTAAATATGGGACGCGAGCTTTAAAATACAACGATCAAACAAAGTCCGAGCCAAAAACCTCTTGCGTGGTTGCACTTCAACAAGCCAGGGCAACTTGCAGCCTCCTAAGGAGGCCCAGCAAACTACCATACCAGCACCCATAACTACTCTGAACCAAAAACAGCACAAACTGCCAAATCAACACAGTAACTACTACACAACAACCGTGTTGTTGATGGCCGTATACGAAGGAGCCCACCACTTAGCTGGAACTGGCAGGAACCCGCTGGCAGAGGCCTTCTGACCCGTCTTGGGAATTATGAACAGCAGAAACGCCTTTGCAACTGCACCGTTGGGGACCTTAGGGGTCTTGAGGTTTTTCTTGATGAAAGAATATTGCATGGAGACCATGGGAGGAGCCTTGGCGTTCGCAGTCCAGATCAGATCGACGGAGTCCCAGGATTTGTCCGGAGCAGGAACCTTTGCGGGAAGGGCGACAATGGGGTTCCAGTTCAGAGACAAGACGGCCGCGTTCTTCTTGTTCTTTAGAGCCACTTCCGCCACGCCGGGTTTGTTCTTGCATCCGCCGGTGTGCGAATACCCGATGCTGCCGGGCGTCGCGGCGATCTTGGTGCACATATCGCCGTTCGTCGCGGCAAACGTGAGGCCAGCATACGTGAAGGGCTTGCCGGTGGTGTCGCTGCCGGCGGGGTAACCCGCGCCTGCCTTCAACCACATCTGCTGCACGATCGCGGTCGTGGCGACCTTGGTGCTCCGCGCGACGCGCGTGATCGGGCCCGTGAGCTTAGCGGCGGCCGCGGCGGGAACATTTCCCCAGGAAGTGATTGCTCCGGAGAAAATCTGGTACTACTGCGCAGCGTTCAGAACCAGCGGCTTGGCTCCCGCGGCTTTTGTCACGAAGAAGCTGTATGTGACAATAGCGAGCGGGACGGTGATCTTGGGGATGGTGGCGATCTCCTTGTCGGCGCTGATTGGCTCAGAGGCGGCGCCGATTAAGTAGGTTCCGTTGTAGAATCCCGCAACGCCATTGCTGGAGCTGGAGGGATCATATTTGCCGAATCTTAGTGCGGGTTTGACTTTCTTGTTCCATTCGCCGATCAGCGCGTTGGCCATCTGTGAGAGGTTAGAAAAAAACGTAAAGCGAGAAAAAAAAGGTTATTGCAGGCCCACGTGTATTAACGAAGAGTATCATGAAAAATCGGTGGAAAGGTTACTGCCAGTATTGTGGAGAAAAGTCGTGAGATTCGATTAGTGAGCTACTCATTGGTCGTGACGATGGTTCCAGAACGTTCAGAGTGGAGAAATATTTCACATTAACATACCGGCTCGAGAGGCTGCGCGCCGCCCCACGCCTTGAGAATCGCCGCGGTGGAGCAAGGGAGAAGCACCGACGCGGCCAGAAAGGCCAATGCAGCATGGTAAAGGCCGACGCGAGCCATGTTCGTCGCCGAAGACCGAGTCAGATCGGCGAGTAGACAGGAAAAATAATCCTGGAAAAATTACAGTCCACAGGTTGCTGCTTCGCTGTGGCGAGATGCTGTCACAGCCGGTAGAAGTAGTGAGGGTTTCCCTTCTTTCCACCACAAATTAGTGCAGGAGGGAGGATACAGAAATCCCAAGTGAGCCCAAAATGTCTCGGACCATTGAATTTCTTTCGTTACCGAACCGCGCGGAGGTTTGCGACTCGGCGATGGGCTGGGTTCACTTCTCCGTATCGAGGCGCACATTTGTAGAGTCCACATTCAGGTTATCAGGTCTTTGGTAAACTTGCGGAGTGCTCGTGCTCCGCCGACTTTGTCCACGCGGACCATGTGGATTCGACGTGAAGCGTAGCTCACGCGTGTGGAAGATTTCGTTGATAGAACGTGCCAGATCAGCAACCCTTGTGGCTCTTCAAAGCAATCGGATTGGCTGTAGACCTCCGAAGCACAGCAGGCCAAGATGAAATGCTGCTGCTGTGTTGGCGGCTCGAGACTCCTCATCTTGCATCTTGGCGCTCAAAAACTTGAGGAATGGGACTTGTGGAAACAAACGTACAAGCGCGAGATTTCACTGGTTTCGCGAAGGCGAAGCACTCCTTAGCGAGGAAAATGTGCCTTGGCCTCTTTGGCGCTGCAGTCGGCGAACCACGAGGTGCGTATGCGATAGGGCGAAAAGTAGCTTCGGTGATGGAAATCAGCTGTGGTAACACCACGTGTCGCTCCCTGTGTGCATTCTGTTTGGCTGCTAACGAGTTAACGAGATGTCTGCGAGGAGATCGATTAACCTTTACACGGAAACGATCGTGAGCGTGGAATACCAGTAACTGGAATTCCAGCACTCGAACAGCGGAAGACTCATCCGTAAGACTAGAACCCTCTACATCGAGGACTGGCGATTTGGTGCAGACCTAGTGATGGAAACAGTACGTGGAGTGCGGAAAGCCAGAACGATAACTGAGCAAACGCCTGTATTTATATGCGAATTGAAATGGGAGGGGGAAGAGAGGGAGAAGTCAAGAGCTGAGCAGTGAGCACCTACAAATCCTACGGACGAATCGGGGAAACCTGTTGGGGTTCTGTCCCTATCGAACGGTTTATGATCCTTGCGAAAGGTTATGCGAACCCAGACGACGAAATCCGTCTCAAACTAATGCTGCCGATCTGGCGGTCACATCGCGCGGCTCCACTCCACAAATAGCCCTCGAGATTCCTTATCAAAATGCGCGACCCGAGAGAAAGCTACCAAATGCAGTGTTCCGAACAAAACACGTGCAATTGTTCATCCACCACCACACATCAGGAAGGCAGGCAGCATGTCGCGGAATGACCATTTTGAGATTCGGAATCTCCTCCCTGTTTGGTTATCCCCCTGTTGTCTAATGAGAGGCTCCTAATTTCCCGCATGCCAGCTCGTATCCGTGATACGGCTTCTCAAGACAGCACCATGTGTAGGACATATTCGTTGAACTCAGCTGGAAGCTGAGGGCTCGAGGCTGGAGGCTCGGAGTCAGCGGCAGCATCGTACGATTCCATCTTGTTTCTTACGCGCCAAAATTTGTACGGTTCCCTCTGGCCTGTTAAAACTGCTCGTCTACGCCGACAGAGGAGAAAAAAATGCGCTTTGGTACGAGGCGCGACAGTTTTTCATTTTCCGCGCCTCCAGACGACGGCTCTGTTTCTGACCATTGAACAAGCGCCACGTCACCAGGGTTATCTTCTGATCTCTGCCCTCTGTTGACCTTCGGTGCTGCTTACATTCGTCCCTCCCTCACTCCTTCCCTTCCCTTCCATACTCCTCCTCTCGCCTCTTCTTCTGTCGCCTCCTCTTCTTGCTCGTAATTATGATTGTTGCTTGAAACATGCTGCTCACTAACAGCAGTAGATCACTTACTATTCGTACCACTACGCCTCAGTAGTGAAGCCCCCCTCACACAAAGCAAGGCTGTTCACATGGGATCTTAGGCTGGAGTTTTTTTAGACTTCTCATGATTTTTTTTCAGAATTCTCAGGAGATATTTGAGATTTCTGAAAAATCTCGTGTTGTTTCCATGGGATCTTGGACTTGCTTCGCTGCACATGCTGCACTAACCGCCTGCAGCTCACTAACAGCAACAGAGCATTCGCTGATCGCACGATGTCACACAGATCAAGATTAGGCACTTGTCAGGGCTTACCAAGTGTCTCGCCAGTTTCTACAGAAATTTCCAGCACCGTTTTGTATAGTTCTTTAGAGTTCTGCAGCACGTGGTTCGTCAGAAATAACTAAACTTACCCTTCATCATCTGTTACGGGACACATCAATGGTGCGAAACAGATAGAGAAGAAACAGTGTACCATAAGCTAAGATTAACCAAACATTCCCTGCATACGCGGTAGCGCTTCTCGAGCCGCTTGTAACGTCTCCATGCTCTTGCAAAACGCCACGCGGACAAAACGATGCTGAGCTGGCACGACCAGGTTGGGCCTTGGCCCTACATGCTCGTCAGTGCCATTGGCACCGCCCTCCCTACAGGCTGCATCACTAACGATAGATCCTACGGCTGATAGGATGCCATGTGGCTGGTCAGATTGGTGCTGGGTCGGATTGTCATGTGGGTGCTCAGGTTGTTGGTCAGGAACTTTTCCAGGTGGGTTTTCTGGTGAGGTGGAGTGGGTGGGGTGGAAGAATATTCGACCTGGGACGAAGGCCACTCCGCATTCCTCTATCACTCGCCTGCAGAACTGAAGCTGAGAGGGCGAGGGAATGGAGAAGAAAGCGAGAAGAGAAAGATGGGAGATAAGGGAGAGGGGTGGAATAGGGGAGTGTGAGTGAGTGGATACAAAGGAAAGAGGACTCTAGGCAATGAGAAATTGGATTTGAAGGTAAAATCGTTACAAAAGGAGCACGAGGAAGAAAGCAAGCAACAAAGGAAAAAAAACCTGGGAACTGACTCTGTGAATTCGCCAGACCTCGTACATAATCAACACCCAATCGCTTACATCATCAACACCCCAACTCTCGGGAATGCGGGCGAACACAAAGACGGACCCCTCCGGCACAAGAGGCACCTCCAGGCCCGCTTCCAGCAGCATGGCCACTGCTGTGTCACGCTTGTGCATGTAGTCCTGGTGCGTGGATAATGGGTGAATGATAGAAGGGAAAAGGGAGGAGTTACAGCAGCACATCGCTCGGGAATGCTGGCAAACACAAAGACGGACCCCTCTGGCACAAGAGGCACCTCCAGGCCCGCTTCCAGCAGCATGGCCACTGCTGTGTCACGCTTGTGCGTGTAGTCCTGGGGATGAGATGGGTTGGGATGGGTTGGGATGGGTTGTGATGGGTTGGGATGGGATGGAGAGATGGAGAGAAAAGAGCACACACGAGTACCCGCTCTAAAAGGCAGAGAGCAGCCCATGCGTGAGCAGCCCAGCCTCAAAGGAGAGTCAATGCAACTGAAAAGCGTGTGGTAGGATGATAGTAGGTACAGAAAAGTGTATACCTGAGGCACCTGAAGAAAGAGAGTCGATGCAAGTGCCTCTTTCGAATGTGTGTAGCAGGATAACAGCAGGTACAAAGAAGCATAATCTTTCCAGGTGATGAAGTAATACCTCTCTTAATTGAGTGTAGTAGGATGACGGTAGGGACAGAGCCGCACGGGACGCTTCCTGGAAGGGGGCCGGAGGAGTGTCGATGAGCTTGGCGCTGATGGTGCTGATGGCTGCTGCAATGGGCGGTGGGGCAATGGCCCATCCCACCCGCCAACCTGGAGGGGGGAGAGATCGGGGAGTTAGGAGGAGCGAGCTGTTAAGGAGCGATTGATGGTGCTGATGGCTGCAGCAATGGGGGCTGGGGCTATGGCCCATCCCACCCGCCAACCTAAAGAAGGGGGGAATATGAAGAGTGGAAGGAACAGAACGGCTTCCACATTCTCTGATGGTGCTGATGTCTGCAGCGATGGGCGGTGGGGCTATGGCCCATCCCACTCGCCAACCTGGAGAAGAAGGGGGAATATGAAGAGTGTAAAGGAACAGAACGGCTTTCCACAGTCTCTGATGGTGCTGATGGCTGCAGCGATGGGGGATGGTGCTATGGTCCATCCCATCTACCAACCTAGAGGGGAGAAAGAGGGAGAGAAGAGGGAACGAGAGAGGTGTGAGGAAGGGCAGATTGTTATGCAGCCATAGGGTTATACCCCACCGACCCACCATCCCACCCACCCACCCACCCACCCACACAATCAACCACCCACCCACTCACCCACCCACCCACCCACCATCCCTCCCACCATCCCACCCCACCGCACCCTACCATCCTGTCACCCATCCACCATCCCCATCCCACTCACCAGTGACGTGGAACGTTTTGGACACAGACGAGGTGACGATGCAGCGCTGCTTCATGCCCGGCCAATGAGCGAGCGACACGTGGCGCGTGGCACTGCTGCCATAGGTGAATGCGCTGTACACCTCATCTGTAATTGCCAGCAGGTCGTGATGGCAGCAGAACTGGGCGAGTTGAGTCAATTCCTTGTGTGAGAACACACGGCCAGTGGGGTTGCATGGACTGGAGTGGGGGTGGGTTGTTGTGGGAGTGGGGAGGGGGAAGCGGAGGAATCACTTTTGAGAATTCTCAAAAGTGATTTCCAAATTGCATGGACTGGAGTGGGGGTGGGTTGTTGTGGGAGTGGGGAGGGGGAAGCGGAGGAATCACTTTTGAGAATTCCCAAAAGTGATTTCCAAATTGCATGGACTGGAGTGGGGGTGGGTTGTTGTGGGAGTGGGGAGGGGGAAGCGGAGGAATCACTTTTGAGAATTCTCAAAAGTGATTTCCAAATTGCATGGACTGGAGTGGGGGTGGGTTGTTGTGGGAGTGGGGAGGGGGAAGCAGAGGTTGCGAGTTGGAAAGTGGACGAACGGGCTGCACACCTCGCCTTGTGTGTCACGACCAGCTGTTGGGAGAATGATGCTCTAGGTGTGTTTGCTCTGTGGAGTGAGGGGGGTGGCTGTGCAACAATGTAAGAGGCACCTCAAATGTCAACTGTTTCTCTGTGGATATGATAGGCCAAAATCACCAGCTGATATGATTTCAATTCACCTGTTGAGAATGATGCCTTTGGTGCGTGGAGTGAGGGCCGCTAAGAGATGGCTGCTGAGGCGCCTTAAGAGATGGCAGCAAATACAGTGCACCTCCCTTTATGACTCTATGTGACCGCACTCACCTGTTGAGAATTATGCCTTTGGTGCGTGAAGTGAGGGCCGCTAAAAGAGCATTGAAGTCGATGGACCAGTGGGGAGGAGAGAGAGGCACGTATACCTGGCATGGACGGACAGGAGGGAGGGAACACGGGAGGGAATGGACAAAGGAAAAAGGGCAAGCAGGATAGCAGCAACTGGAGTGAGTGGACAAGTGAGGGAGTGAGTGGAGTGAGGGCAGCTGAGAGGACTCTGAAGTAGATTGACCAGTGGGGAGGAGAGAGCGGCACGTACACCTGGGATGGACGGACGGGAGGGAGGAAGGGAGGGGGTAAGGGGAAAAGGGCAAGCAGGATAGCAGCAACTGGAGTGAGTGGACAAGTGAGGGAGTGAGTGGAGTGAGGGCAGCTGAGAGGGCGCTGAAGTAGATTGACCAGTGGGGAGGGGAGAGCGGCACGTACACCTGGGATGGACGGACGGGAGGGAGGAAGGGAGGGGGTAAGGGGAAAAGGGCAAGCAGGATAGCAGCAACTGGAGTGAGTGGACAAGTGAGGGAGTGAGTGGAGTGAGGGCAGCTGAGAGGGCGCTAAAGTAGATTGACCAGTGGGGAGGGGAGAGAGGCACGTACACCTGGCATGGACGGACGGGAGAGAGGCACGTACACCTGGCATGGACGGACGGGAGAGAGGCACGTACACCTGGCATGGACGGACGGGAGAGAGGCACGTACACCTGGCATGGACGGACGGGAGAGAGGCACGTACACCTGGCATGGACGGACGGGAGAGAGGCACGTACACCTGGCATGGACGGACGGGAGAGAGGCACGTACACCTGGCATGGACGGACGGGAGAGAGGCACGTACACCTGGCATGGACGGACGGGCGGGAGGGAATGGCATGGAGAGGCAGCACAGGAGGAGGGGTACGCAACCATTCCCTCCTGGCTCGGTAGCATCAGAAGCAACCCAGTGTCCCACCCACCCACCCACCCACCCACCCACCCACTCATCCATCCACCCGCCCATCCGCCCACCTGCCCATCCGCCCATCCCCCCACCCAACCACCCACCTACCGGGTTAGCACCAGCGATCAGAATTGCTCCGTGATATGCCTCAAAGGCAGGGTCGAACAGGATGACGTCATCGCCAGGCTGGAACACTGCAGGATGACGTCATGGCCATGAGAGGGCGGAGAGAGGAAGACAGGTGAAAGGGTTTTCGGTCAGAGGTAAGGGCTTAGAGGGGACAGAGGTTTTCGGTCAGAGGTAAGGGCTTAGAGGCGACAGCGGTGGAGAGGTGTGAAAGGCAGATAGCTTCAGGATTTGCGGTTTGGGGTTGAAGGTTAGACAGAAGTAATGGGCGCGTTGAAGTGAAACAAAGCGAACCTGCCAGGCATGCCGAGGCAAAGGCGCAGGTCTGGCCGGAGCTGAGAACCACCTCTGAGTCTGGGTTCACTGGAACTCCGGAAGCTTCTGAGAAAGTGCGTGCCACGAGTTCTGCCAGAGATGTGTTGTAGCTGGGGGAGAGGGGATATGCAGCAGGTGTGGAAAAATAGTGACTTTTTAGTCGACTCAAGAGTCACCTTTTTACTGGGGAGTAGGGGAGATCTAGTTTTGAGGCGCCTCAAAATTAGTCGACTCAAGAGTCACCTTTTTACTGGGGAGTAGGGGAGATCTAGTTTTGAGGCGCCTCAAAATTAGTCGACTCAAGAGTCACCTTGTTACTGGGGAGTAGGGGAGATGCGACAGGTGGGGGCAGATAGATCAGGAGGCAGCCAAACCAGAAACCAGGTGCGGGCACTGCGAATATTGTAGAAGTTTTTGTTCTTAAGGGAAAAGGAAACCCTACCAGGTTGAGAGGAAGGGGAGAAGACGGGAAGGGGAAGCAATCAATGAAGCGTGTGTGAAAAGGGCAGGAATGAATGTAATTAGGAGTCGGAGAGGTGAGTAGCGAGTGAGTGAGAAGGGAGACAAAGACAGAAACAGCTGCATTGACCACTCACTCACTCGTATGGGTTCACGTCAGCAAAATGCAAGACATCTCAGAAAAAGAAGCTGCATCGACCACTCACTCACTCATATTGGTTCACATCAGCTGCAACAGCGGCCATCCCTGCTTCCTTGAGAGCTGGAGGAGCAGCATAGTCGGGAAACCCTGAAACAGATGGTGACACCATGCCATGCCATGCCATGCGATGCCATGCCATGCCATGCCATGCCATTCCGTGCCATACTACGCCATGCATATTGAGGTCACGCATTTCGTGGAATCACATAATAACTGCGTGCTAGAAGGCCAAACGCATTCTTCTCAGTGGTTTCTGCGGCTATGAACTAGTCGTAACAAGGCTATTAATTCAGGCACACTTCGACCATCCTACACAGAGACGGAGTAACGCTACCTCCTAGAAAGATAAATTTTGGTATACACTATTACTCAGGATATCTTGCCTTGGGATTACCTTCTCCCAGGTTGATGGCTCCTCTCTTCTTCGCCAGCCGAGACACCTCCACGATCACCGAAGGCCCAAATAAACGGCTGCGATTAGACAACCACCGATCCGCGCTGGCTTCTGATTGGCCGGACTCTACTCGGTCATTGCTGGGTGATGCTGCTGGTTGGAAACTCATTTCTCTTTCAGTTTCTCCTTCACGTTGACTCGCATTTCGCTGCTCTGGATCGGGAGTTTCAGAATCTATCCTCTTGAATTCCACTGCGCTTCCCGTCATCGCGTCGGGTTTAGAGCGAGATTTACAGGCCGCCGATGTTGTGACACGTGTCAATGAGCGTGAGATCTTCGTCACGGACTGACGTGGTACGAGCCGCGTCGAGGAGCTCTGGGAGAATGCGATACGGAAGGATTGAATTCGCGAGTTTAGGGTTTCATAAGAGTAGCTGTTGCTGAATGCCATTCGATCAACCTTAGCAGGCGTCTCGGTGTACCTAGTATAATGAGATTCGGTACTAGGAAGAGATGAAGAGGAATGACTACCATTGAGTCACCGACCGCTAGTTGTCACCAGTACTGTGCCTGACCAGCCATAAATCAATTGTAGACTCCTTGCAGCGTGAACGATCATGCTCCGTTCTGGTTCTGGCAACCCCAAAACGCCGCGTAAATAGATCCCTGGTGGCATGAAGGCATGGTGCTTTCATTATCTAGTTCCTTCATCTTTAAAACCCGCAGCCTGAATTACAAAAACGAGTCAACGCTTGGTTTGGGAAGAGGTTGGGGAGAGGTTCGGGTGGTTGGGTGACACTTTCGGGTGGCGAAACCAACTTGCGAACACACAAGTGTCGCAACATTGAATCTGGGCGACGGAAACCAATACCATGGGGAAGGGATGTGACCTACAGAACCTCCGTCGGCAAAAAACCAGCACACCATTACTAGCTACTAACTTAGACACGAAAGGGTCGAATCTTAGTTTCCTCCAAGCGGCAGCACACAAATTCAGTAGCTACATTGCGCGAACATTCTTACGTTAGGGTTTTATAGCGAACACATTTCCCACAACCGGAATCCCTAGGTGCTGCGTGGCCACGCAATCGAAGCACAGAGAATAGGCGTGAGGAGATGAGAAAGTAGCGCTTTGCCCACCTCGCGACCCTCGCCCATCGCCCTTGCTTTCCCCGCCCACCGCCCGTCGCCCTCGCCGCCTAGCCGACCGTCGACCTCGCTTCCCTCGCCCATCGCGATCGCTTCCCCCGCCAGTCGCTCTCGCTTTCCCCGCCTACCACCCTCGCCTCGCCCGTCCCCCTCGCCGCTTCCCCGCCCGCCGCCCTCGCTTCCGCCCGTCGACCTCGCATCCACCCGTCACCCGCTCTTCCGCCCGCCGTCCTTCCTTCCCCTCGTCGCGCTCCCTTCCGCCCGTCGCCCCATCTCGTCGCCCTCCCGTCCTCCCGTTGCCTTCCCTTCCGCCCTCCGCCCTTCCTTCCCCTCGTCGCGCTCCCTTCCGCCCGTTGCTCCCCTTCGTCTCGTCGCCCTCCCTGCCGCTCGTCGCCCTCCCTGCCGCTCGTCGCCCTCCCTCCCGCTCGTCCCCTCGCAATCCACGTCTATCTCTCCATCTGTTTCCCCTTGCTCCATCTGTTTCCCCTTGCTCCCTCTTTTTCGCCCTTCTCACACTCTTCCCCCTCCTCTTTTTCCAACTTGCTCACTACCGGTATATTCCCCACTACTCACTCTCTTTCCCCCTGCTCACTATCTTCCCACCAGCTCACTCTCTTCCCCCCTCCTCACTTTGAGTAGGGTTGCTCACTCTGTTTCACCCTTGCTCACTCTGTTTCACCCTTGCTCACTCTGTTTCACCCTTGCTCACTCTGTTTCACCCTTGCTCACTCTGTTTCACCCTTGCTCACTCTGTTTCACCCTTGCTCACTCTGTTTCACCCTTGCTCACTCTGTTTCACCCTTGCTCACTCTGTTTCACCCTTGCTCGCTCTGTTTCACCACTGCTCCCCACCCCCCTTCTCTTCTCACTCTCTTCCCCCTTGCTCACTCTCTTCACTTCTGCTCACTCTGTTTCCCCGCTGCTTCTTCTCTTCCCTTCTGCTCACTCCTTTTACTGTCTTTTCCCCTTCACTCACCCCCATATCCCCCAATGCAGGGTACAGGTGCCCAGCACCAGATGTTGTGGCTTTACCACGGCCTGGTTTATTGTTTGCAGTGTACGAGACAAAATCAGGAAGCAACATTACATTCCCCCCAGATTTGTTATTTTATAAATTTGAGTGACTCCCCTTGTACCGTACAAAGAATACTAGTATATTATTTGTTGGACCCCTAGTTAGTGGTCATGTGTATGACTGCTCTGAAGCTCATACCGCCATAACAGACTAAATTATCCAATACATGGCATGTCTATACGTTGCTTAGTATCAAACAGCCAACACATCACAACCAGATGCAGAGAAGACCTGCGCAAACACAAACCAGGAAGTCAGATGTGACGTGGCTGAAGTAGTAGGGAAGCAAGCATGCAAAGAATGACAACTGAGAAATGATGAGGGGAGGAATGGAGAAAATGGAGAAAGGGAGGAACGGAGGAAGGATGGAAGCGAGGAATGCAATGAAGGGAGGGAGGTAGTGATGATGGGGGGAAGGTAGAGTGGCGAAGACATGGGGGAGAGTGTCAAAATGAAGAAATGGATGATGCATTGATGTTGGTTGGGGTACATATAGCTAACCCTAAGTTTTGTACCCCCTAAGACAAACCTCACTATAGGCTACAACATTTGACACACCCCCATAGCCTAAGTGAGGGGTGTCTAGCAGAACCAAACGAGTACGGTCACAAGACCAGTCCAAGAAACGAAGCTCAGGGTGGATCACAACGTCACCACACAGTCTGAGCACAAACAACAGTGGCCACAAGGCCAGTCCAAGAAGTAACAGAGGTATATAGAAAGCAAAGTAAACAGTACACTCAAGTCTAAGCAACACGAGAACCAGTGTCAACAAGGCCTAACTGCACACAGCACCTCTGGTGGTCACAAGGCGGAAGCGCCTTGGTGAAGATGTCTGCAGTGTTGGCCTCGGACTCCACAAACTCAAAGCGAGCCTGTCCACGCCTCTGCAACTCTCGCAGAAGAAAGTACCTGACGTGAATGTGCTTCACTCTGCTCTCCAGTCGTGGCTCTCGACAAAGGAGAATAGACGCCTTGTTGTCAGTGAACAAGGTCGGTGCAGAGCTCGGCCGCTCACCAAGGTCGGTGAGCAAGAAGGTCAACCAACGCAGCTCCTGTGCCGCCATGGCACCAGCGTAGATCTCAGCCTCAGCTGTAGAGGTCGAGACCGAAGAGGAGCGCGTGGACCGCCAGGAAACAGCTCCAGAACCCAGGCTGAAACAGTACCTCTGAGTAGACCTGTGAGTCTCAGCGTCGTCAGCGTAAGAGGAGTCACAGTGACCAGTAAGTACGACAGACTGCTGCCCTCCAAGAACTAGCCCCACGCCTGACGTCGTCGCTAGGTACTTCGCCACCCTCACAGCTGCTGTCCAGTGAACAGGACGGTGTCTCCCTGGCGCAACAAAGCGCGCAAGAACGCTGAGAGGGAAGGCGAGGTCCGGGCGAGTACAAGTCATCAGGTACATGAGGCAACCCACAAGCTCTGCGTAGGGACCACTAGGCTCGAACGGCTCGTCAGGAAAGGGTCCAGTGAGTCTGTGGTCAACAGCAAGAGGTGTGCGCTGTACTGTGGAGTGCTGAAGCCCGAACCGCTGAAGGACCTGCTGCACCATGTGCGACTGTGAAAGTGTAATGGTGCGAGCAGCTCTGTCCCTGGTGATCTGCAGGCCAAGGTAGTGGCGCAGCTCACCAAGATCAGTGCAGGTGTGTCTCTTCTGCAGTTCGGACTTCACGTGTGCCAAAGCAACCCTGTCAGGGGTGGCGAAAACAAGGTCGTCAACGTAGACCAGAACAAAGAAAGGTGTGGGGCCACGACGAACGAACAGCGACGGGTCAGCAGAAGACGGCTGGAACCCAAGGTCAGACAGGGTAGAACGCAGGGTGTCGTGCCACTCACGAGGAGCCTGACGAAGACCGTAAACCGGTCGCCTCAGCCTCCACTGGGTCCCAGGAGGGAAAGAGCCAGTGAAGGCAGAGGGACGACGCAACCAGACCTCCTCGTGAAGACTGCCCTGAAGGAAAGCAGTAGAGAAGTCGAGAGAGTGTAACTCGTAGGCTCTCTGTGCTGCTACGTGTAGTAACACCCGAAGAGTGGTCATCTTCGGGGTGGGCGCGAAGGTCTGAAAGAAGTCAACTCCCTCGCGCTGACTGAAACCTCTAGCCACGTAGCGCGCCTTGAAGACCGGAGGAGATCCCGGTGGCCGCTTCACCCTGTAGATCCACATGCCGTCGACTACGTTCGCCCCCGGAGGGGGAACCTCATCGACGTAGGTGCCTGTGGATCTGTAGGAGGCCATCTCTGCGTCCATGGCAGCTCTCCACTGAGAGGCCCAAGGCCCTGACACTGCCTCAGCGTAAGTGCGAGGAGTCGGAATGTCAAGGGCGTCGGGGTCACCCTCAGGGGCGAGGAGCATGGCACAGAGATGAGGGGAAGCGGCCGCCAGGAACTCTAGCTCAAACTGCCTGTCCTCTAGGGCGTCACAGCCAAGGGCAGACACACCCCCGACGGCCGGAGGACTGGAAGGAGGAGCAGCCACAAGAGCGGTGGCGAAGTCAAGGCGGCGGGTAGAGGCAAAGTCAGTGACTGCGGCAGTAAGAGCGGACACAGAGGACACAGAGGCACGAGGGTGAGTAACAAGCGAGGCGAGAACACGAGAGAGAAGAGGACGGTACGTGCGGTAGTAGTCAGTGACAGGAGTAGGGAGCGACGCAGTGAGAGCTGACTCAGGAGGAGACGGAAGCACAGACGGAGACGGACGAGGTGGACTAGAACGAAGTAAGGCAGTACGAAGGTCAGTGAAGGGAACAGGAGACGAGGGACGAGCACGAGGGGAGCGACGAGAGGCCCAAGTCTGAGAAGGAGGAGGGGACAACGAAGACTGAGAACGAGGGAAAACAGCGGGAGAGGGGTCAGGAGGAGGAAGCGGAGGACCAGAGACGGGAGGAGAGGGGGAGGAGGAAGGAGAGGGAGAGGGGAGACCAAGGGTCCGAAGACCCGAGACAGGAGGAGGAGACGGCAGCTGCTGCTGCTGCGGCTGCTGCCCCTGCTGCTGTCGCTCCTGCTCCTCGAGCCGCTGCAACTCTCTCTCCTCTCTCTCCAACTC